GGGGGGACTTCCACTGTCACAACAGCCAGACTGGTGCCGTGTGGGTTTAGGCTCCGGGGGGAACTTGCTGGGCTGATGTGTGCCCTGGACAGGATACCCGGCCCGTACGGTGGGACCACGCGGCCGCTGCGTGTCTAATTAGGAAAATGCCCCCAGCTGTCAGATCCCGCGTGTCTGTGAGGAATTCTCTGGGCCTCGACACCATCACGGGTGTTGTAAGCACTCAGAGAAAATGACCAGTCACAAACTTAAGTGATTACAATTTTTCCTTCAGTTCGGTGCAGTCTCCTCAAAGCGCACTGTTTCCAGTAGCTGATATCCTCTGCCGTAAGCCCCCCCCATCCCCCTTGAATAAATCCATAAATATAATTTCGTATTTGCCTACATTGTGGCCCCGGGCCCTCGTCCTCTTTCATAAATGAGCTGATTTGCACATCTTCTTCTTTACATTTTAATCCGTAAAGTAAGGGGTGGCAAAAGTAGTGTTTGTCCTTGTGAGGTCTTTTTTTTTTTTTTTTACGTACCTTTAGTCAAATGAAAATCCTGTCAGCCAATGAGGTCCTTATACCTGCTGACCACACAGAATCTAAATAATTTTTCACTTAAGGGGTAACATGTAGAACATCAGTGCCAGTCTTTTGTAATCATAAAATTAGTTCCTTTTTTGGATTTATTGCCAACAGTTGCTATTATGTATGTATTATATGTCATATACTAGATGTAATATATGTATTGCAGTACCTGTATAATAATAGTATAGCTAAGCTACAATCAAGGCCTTATTCTGTGGTTTTTAAGTGTACTTTAATCTGGTCTTTTGTTTTCTTTGCAGCTTTCATTTTTAGATTGAACAGGTCCACCTGAGTGTCCTTATTAAGTCAGTCGTTACGTTGTGTCATTGTGACATAGTGTCATTGTGCCAAACACCATTAATTGCCTCTGTATGGTTTTCTTGTCTTCCTCCCACAGGTCCTGGTCCTGTCAGTGCCCTCACAGTGTCCGGCATCCAATCGCGCACTGCCACTGTCACCTGGCAGCCTCCATCCCAGACAAACGGCGTCATCACTAAGTACAGAGTTTACGCCAACTCCCAGCTCCGAGCCATCGTCCCCAGCAACAGCACGAGCTGCACCGTCTTCCCGCTGGAGCCGTACAGGGATTACACCTTCCGGGTGGAGGCGTGTGGCGAGGCCGGTTGCTCCCCTGCTGCTCCCACGAAAAGCCTTCGCACGGCCCCGGCACCCCCCGAGGACATACCGCCCCCCAGGCTCTTCTCCGACACGCCCACCTCTGTGCTGCTGTCCTGGGAGCGGCCACAGAGGCCTAACGGCGAACTGGAGCGCTACGTGGTGGAGCGGCGGCTCAGTGGTGGCCGGGAGGTGTCCGCTGTGGGCACGGTGCTGGCTGAGCGCCCCCTCAGCTTCCTGGACAACTCGGGCGCCCTGAGTCCCTGGACCAGCTACGAGTACCGTGTGGTGGCCAGTACATCGCAGGGGGGCTCCAACAGCAGTGCCTGGCGCCAGGTCACCACCAGGCCCTCTAGGCCTGCGGGCCTGCAGGCCCCCCAGACCCTGGTTCTGGGGCCCGACTCCATCCAGGTGGGTCGCAGTGACCCTGATCACAAGTCCCCTATGCCATTGTTAGCTGGCCCGACCGTCCTCCCCTCTGTTCACCTTGAGCACTGGAGAACAACGCATTCATGTATATCAATGAAATTTCTGCCTCTTCTTACCCCCCCAAAAAAAATACAAAGGCGACACTGTCACCGTTTATCAGGGCCGCTGTAAATATTAACAGCGTACAGGTCATGGTGCCCAGCTCGAGGCTCGCTGGGATCTTTTGACGCGTCTGTCTGTAGTGTATCTATCTATTCCAATTAATTAAAATTGGTCCCGGACAACTGGCTCTTTTTTGGCCCGTTTATACGCTTAAAACTCAAGGTCTCCTTGAGGAAGGAGACATTATGACCCTTTTCGTGGTTTAACTCCACTCATGTCTGGCATTTAATAAATGGGGCGATACGACAATGATGTCCAAATGAAGGGATACCTCAGCACAGTCCGCCCCTGTATATTAATGCCAAACGGCGTATGAAAAATGTAACTCTCATCATTTGGATGACATTGTTTCTGCGACTGCTTCTCGCTCCTGGGCCGATCTGCACCCAGGTTCAGCCAATTAGGTCTTGTCAATAGAGCGGCGGTAACTCCCGGCAAATTTGACCTTGGCGTCACCGTGGCCACTGTCGCTGAGGTCCATTTACATTTCACCGATGGAATGTTTGCTCCTTCAGCCCATAGCTCTCGCTCAGACGTATTCGTAATACTGCCACACAGAGGCAAAACACCCCAACTGCTCATTTGATCAAAACTGCGTTTCTGAAATCGGGTCTCTTGGGCTCTTGTTTTGTCTTGTGTCAGAATATCTCAACAAATCGTTTACCTGCCCACTACACATGATAGGTGGACAGTCAAAAAAAGCTAAAGCCCTTTTTCTCAGTTCCACTGCCTGTGTGGCTGCTGTTTTTTTGCCTTTGTGAGACAGAATAGTGTCGCGTGAGCTTGTAGTTCTGGGCCGAAGTCATTCAGCTGCATGTTCACTTCTTTTTGTGGTCTGTTGTTACCTTTAAGGAAGTTTCTTTATTATTATTATTATTTTTAAAAAGCCAAACTCCCGCCAAGCTGATATCGCTTTTTCGGAGGCGCATAAATCCTCTTTCAGCAAACACCCTGGTTATTCTCCTAATTCAGTCGAAGCTTCACTCGAGAGAGCGGGTGCCGGCAGTGTTTTGGCTTGTATACAACTTTGATTCAAGGGAAATTAATGTAACCAAACAGGCTTTGCGGCTTAGGAGCGTCTCTGTATAAATACACCCAACTGCACGTCTCCTTTGCAGAGCTGTCCCGGTGCCAGAGACATTGGCAGAAATGCTTACAACTTCAAACAAAAGGCGGCATTTACATAAACTCCCCTGAATAATTCATTCCTCTAACCCCAGGTTTAGTTTTTTAAACCATTATTACTTCATTAATGTGTTAACTGCTACAATTTACAGGGATAACTGGATGAGAATGGCTACACTTGTAAGACCCTGTAAAAAAAATGATTTGCATATGCCAGTTTGGCTTTCCTTTGCTGCTGGCTGATTGGGTGGCTCACTGCCGTTTCGGTCCTCTGTGAAACATGTATGTGCAACAAATTGAAAAGTTTTTATTGTCGCTTGTGTTTCGAGGAAACAGTGAGATTCATATGCCACGGTTGCAGAGTTGGGGACAGGTGCATGGGAGGAAAATTAGGCAAAAAAACAGTATGATAAGAGAAGAGAGAGCAAGACGAAAGATGGTGCGATATGAGGAGGGAAACCGTAAATATACAATAAATAATTTCTTCTTTTTGAAAAATAAAACAGATGTATTCTTCCTGTCAACAGATTTATTATTGGTGTTTTTTTTGAGCATACCAGTGATTTTTAAAAAATATATAGTTTGCTTTTTATTTTGACTGTACTGGATAAGCAGTTATGGAAGATAGATGGTTGCTTTTGTTTATATATTGTTTTACTTAACCTAGCATATTCTGAAATATGTTTAGTACATTTTAAATAAATGTGACACATTAATTAAATAAGTGTATTTCCATCTAAATTACTAAGAATTAATTGATTACATAATTGTAAATATGTTACATATTTAATTTTATAATGTTATATATTCTTAGTAATTTTGTGGATGGGGAAGAATATCCATTCATCCATCTTCTAGCCAAATATCCAGTACCGGTTTGTGTAGTGTGCATTCTGTGGGCCGAATATTGATATTATTTAAATAAGACCTGCAGAAAGTTACTGTATATTCTGTACACATACTGTACATTGTTGGATATAAACTTTTTTTAAGAATGCAAAATCAGTATGATTTCCAATATAAAAATATAAATTCTATACATTTTTCCACACTCCGCATCTTCATAATAACATTTCCATACTGGACCATCTAAAGATTACATCACTGCATTCTATTTCTGAATGACACCCGTGAGCCCGGCACTTTCTCAGATGAGCTGTCGGCCTGTGGAGGGCGATACCGCAATGAGATTTCTGAGCAATGGCGACTTGGGGCTTTCCTGTCCCAGGTAATTAGATGAGCGCATTTCACCCCTCAGAAATTTGCTGCTTGGCTGTTTCATTTGGTTTTCCTTCTCCCATTCAGTTAAAAGAAAATAATAAGTGAGGCATTAAAACATCTCGCCCCATCCTGAAATGAATGCAGAGATGTCATTTAGCTGTGCGGATCTGTGACATTTTCATTATTTTAACCAAAACTCCTGCAGTCTTACCCCTGCGTTAAATGAAATGAAAGGCATATTTTGTTTCAGGTCAAAGTCGGGTTCATTACTTGATCAGGCGGTTTCACTTCCTGGAGCTCATTGATTTAAAAGCCTCTAGGGTTGTACTGGGGCCCCCCCGAGTCGGGATTGGCCCCTGAACTGGTGCAGTGGCCATCAGGGAGTTCCTGCATCTCTGCTCTTATGAAGATCAGGCGGCATAGGGAATAGGATGTTATTGACCTTACAGCTACAGTCAAAGAGGACGACATTCTGTGTGTCTCACCGCAGGTCTCCTGGAGCACCCCCCTGATCTCCAACGGTAACATCGAGAGCTACGAGATCCGTCTGCTGGACCGGCGCGTCCCCCACACCAACACGTCCAGCCTCGTGTGCACCGTCGCTGACCTGCTGCCTGACACCAACTACAGTGTGACCGTCCTCGCCTGCTCTGAAGGGGGAGGCCACGTCGGCGGGTGCACGGAAAGCCCGGCCTCCCACGTGACCACACCCCCCGCAGCCCCGGGGGGCCTGGGGCGGCTGTCGGTCACCGTGGTCAGCGAGTCCCTGCTGGTGGCGTCCTGGCCCCCGCCCACCAGGCCAAATGGACCCAACGTGAGGTAGGCCGATGCTGCGGCTTTTCACACGCACGGGGCACACAGCGGCTGCCATGACACCTCAGGGTTCATTAACGGCCGCCACGTTATCGACCGAGTGTCATCACAGCGCTGTCATACTACAGTCACTCCTGTTTGTCCTCTAGACACAAAGTACCCAAAACGCAGTGACTGCCACAGCACTTCCTGAAGGACTGTGGACATCTAATAGATGTTACATTGTCACTGAGAAATTATTTATTATTTATCTATTTATTGTTACTTTTTAGCTATTTATTCTACCCCTTTATGCTTCTGCTGTCTTACTTCTTGTTGCATACTTACACTGCCCTATGTGTATGAACTCTTGTGGACAGCCCCCTTCCTTTTTGCACTGTCCTCTGTTTTGACGCCACCCCCCCATCAGAGTTGTTTCTGTGTTACACTGTGCTGCTGGAGGGACTTTATTTTCTGCCGCTATATACTTGTATATAGATTGTATGGTAATAACGTACATTTGATTCAGGTTTACTTCAAATCAAATAGTGAACCTGAATAAGTGAACCTCTTCTGAACCTATATACATCATAATTTTCATATTTTTAGTTTATATTTAATTTCCATGAGGTTCTATGTGGCTGTATAGTATTTATTTTATTATTCTTATTGATTCTTTAACTAATGGATGTTGTCCTTATTGTTATAATCTGTATTTGTATTTGCACCTGTTTATGCCTCAAATTACTAATTCCAGAAAAATGCTTTCTACTCACACAAAATTACAAAAAGACACATAGTTGCTTCAATGTTTGGTTAAAAAGTGTTTGGTTTATTACACTCTATAAAATATTTTCTTAGTTTTTTCACAACTTACTATTTGTCATTAAAAGCAGTTAAAAATATTTTTATGTTTCTCTGAAAGCAAGTTTTTTAGTAAAATAAAAATTTAAAACCTCCCCCTTTTTAAAATTAACTCTCAGTCATCTGAGTATTTGAAAATACAGAAAAATGTGATGTCACCACATTGTTAGCTGCCTGTAAACTCGGTTTTGCAGGCGATTAAGCCGTAAACAGTGGCCCGTGTTTGGTCCGGATTATTAAAATTCATGAATACTTTTGGTGGCGGGTATGTTTGTTTAACTAGGCTTATAAACCTCACATTAAGCCGGGCTCCTCTGATTACAAACGAAATTTGCATTATTTTTCAAAGTAGGGGGGGCTCAAAAAAAATGAGTCAAGGAAACTGGCAGGAGAATTGCTTTGGCAAACCAGCTTTGATTATCCCTGTGTTTTTACTGCCCTCAGATACGGACTGCTGAGACGGAAAAGCCTGCAGCCCCTGGCTTCTCTTCCCCCTGAAGATTTGAATCGCTGGTACAATGTTTACACAGGAGCCAAATTGTTTCATGAAGATAAAGGCCTTAGCAGGTGAGATTACTGAAATTAGCTTTAAAGCAAACTCCGCCCGTGTGTACAGAACTGTTTTGCGCACTGATGCCATCTTTTAATGCTGTTCAAAGATACATTAAGCAAATATTCAGGAATTAAATTGTTTTCTGCTAATCTTCCTCTGGTGCTCATCATATATTCCAGCGCTACTGCTTTTTCTGTTATACAAATTCAGTTATATATATTTTTTCTTCAAAGAGTGACTTCAAAGTGTATCCATGTATGTAGATGCTAATGGTATTCAAAATTATGGTTTAATAAATTGCCATGGTCATTCAGAATTAAACCCAGGACCCAAGGATCCAGGGATTCTGATACACGGCCAGAAGCACTCATGCTCTTCGGTGGCTGTCGGATTGGTCCCAATCAATCACGGTGATTTTGAATTCCGGGCTTGTTTCTCATCTGAACCCCAGGTTCACTACATACCAGTACAAGCTGCTGGTGCACAATGACGTCGGCTTCACCACTGGGGAACCCGTTACGGCCACCACCCTGGCAGGGGTCCCCTTTGTCCCTACCAACGTTTCTGTGCAGGCCCTCAACCACACTGCTGTGGAGGTCAACTGGACAACACCGTGTAAGACCTACTTCTCAGGGTTTTTCAGGGTTACTTCTGATTTAAGTCACGTGCCTAAATATAAGGCAGAAATCGGGGAGCGGATGTATGTATCCATCTATCTTCCCTAACCACTGCTAGAAGGTCATAGGGAATACAGACCGCAGGGCAGGGGTCGTCCTAATCCATCACAGGGATCATACTTACTTATTATTTATTTAGCAGATTCTTTTATCCAAAGCGGCATTATTTTATTTTTTATTTTTTTTATAGAGTCAGACAATTTCAATGAGTAATTGGAGGCTAAGGGCCTTTCTGAAGGGCCCAATGGTAAAATCACTCTGCCGACTCTGGGATTTGAGCCAGCAACCTTCTGATTACAGGGACAGTGGCCAACCCACTAAGCCACACGCTTCAAACCCTTTGGAGTCGCCATTTCTCCAAGCCTCATGTTTTTGGACCTAGTCAGGATATCTGTGTAAATGGAGAGAACAAACTAATTCCACAAATACAGAGTGCACAGTGCTGGAAATGTGTGGCTGTGGGCTAACCATATGCAGCCATATTTACTGTTCTCAGGGACATTGTTTCAGTCCCCCTTTTTGGCCTCCTTTACCCACTAGCTCTTCAGGACCTACAAGGAGCAGTGGAGCTGTACACACTGTGGATCAACTCCTCCCAGCTCACCCGGTCTGTCTCTTTCTCCCCCGGCACCACCTCTGTTGTGGTGGGAGAGCTGCAGCCCAACACGGAGTACCACCTCTCCCTTCATGTCTCCAACGGGGCCCATGTCATCGCCGGGCCTGCAGCCACTTGCAGAACCGCCGATGGAGGTGAGGCCCAGAATGGCAGACAGCCCCGATTCTCCCCCCTTGTTAATGTCGACTTGGCACTATCTGAGGTTGAGAACAGTCAAGCTATAATAATGACATTCGTTGCGTTTAAAATTATTGGGGGGAGGGTTTGATGCTAAATAGCTTAAGTGAGCCACGTCGTCAAGTGCTGGATCAATACAAGGTCCCAGCGATACACAGGCAGTCTGCTCTAATGGATATATTAGCAAAGTCATACTCAACCTCCCTCTCGCCTCTGCCCGGTCCAGTAATACAGTGAGTTTGGATCCCTCCCAATAAATCATACATTAAACATGCTGATTATATTTTATCGATCTGTGGGTCTTGTTAGACAGAAAGGGGGTCACGAAACCTTCAAAGGCACACGTGTAGAGGAATACGAACACTAACGTTCGACTGACGTTAGATTCCCAGGTTTGAATTAAAGCCTGTTAAACATGTGAAAGCCAGCTAGTCAGATTGTAATCATACAGTATCTTTGTTATATGGATCTTCTCGGATAAATTTTGGTTCTGCTCACATGTAAGACACTTCATGTTTTACTGAAGGTGCAAAGTTTTCTTCTGTGTGTTTCGCAAGCAGAGTCCTCAAGTCAATTGTGAAAAAAAACATCTGGAATTATAGTACGCAAAAAAAAATAAAAAGATGTATGCCCTCTCCTTGTTTAGCAACTGAGTTATGTCCAGTAACCAGGTCATTTAGCGAAATGGTTGCTAAGTGAAAATCATGGTAACCTAGACGTGACTGTGACTGCGCTTCGTGCTACAAAGGTCTGGTTGCTGCCGTCTCATTCAGGTAAAGTTCTCGAACAGCTACACCAGCATTACTTTCACTCCAGCATGCATTGTTTTGTCCAGTGTGGAGAATCTGGTCATAAATGCTTGTAAATTTCGAGGAACATGGAAATTATAAAGCTTTTATGTATTTGCTCACTAACCAAAGTGACAAGGAGAAGAGTGGTACTTTTTCAGTTCCTGACTGTATACATACATTTTTGGTTGATAATAAAGCTTTAATTAATAAAGCTTTAATTAATAATGGACCTTTGTTCCACTTGGTAAATTATTATTTTGGTTTAAAATGAATGATTTGCTTGTTATGCATAAATGTTTTGTGTGTGTTTCCTATTCTTGTATATTAGTGTTGTTTGCATTTACAAATCATGAAGTCAGCTAAAAACAGCTCCTGGACACCTGCCTGAAATCCTGTGACCTACAGTCAGGGGTCCCGAGAGCCTCAATAAATTCGCCATGGCTTTTATTTACGACGCTCAATATGGCGTCAAGGTAGTGTTACCAGCCACAACAAGGAAGACGGGGAAGTCAAGCTGTTCCTCTAAAAATACACAGAAGCGAAGGTCCGGGCTATTTACAGCAGCCACCGTGGCATCTGTTTGTCCCGACACCCGGCGAGACAGATATTAAGAGACCAAAATGTCTGGGCGGAACTGCATGCCAACCCAGTATCAGTTTTGGCTAATGGAAGATGAGAAATCTGAATTGGCTCCTTTCTTGCCCTACCTGAGCATGTATTTCTGTTCCAGGGTTGGAATCAGAAGGAGGTCCGTTCCAAAGACACTTTCCCTGCAGAGGCACGCATCGATTCCCCCTGCGCCTCAGTCGCTGTCTGAAAGATCGGGGCTAAGATTTCCCTTTTTCAAAAATTTTGATGGGTGCCTTGACCTCTGTGGCACGATCAATAGTCATTACGGCGCCCCCGTCCCCCAGTGATGGCACAGATGGTGGCGATAGCGGCAGCCTGGACTGCATTAAGCACCACTGCGTTAGTCGAGCCTAACGTCTCTGCGCTCTTTTTATATACTTTTGTCCCCAAAGCTCTTGGTTCTGTGCAGTTAACATTTGGTGCTCAGAGTGCTATGCATTCCTACTTCACCTAATCTTATCAGCGTAATAAAAACCACATTTAAAAAACGTTAGGAAATGGCTACTGCCTAAATAAAGGTTACGGGTCGTTTGACAAAGTGCGATTTCATTATTTTTGCAGCCTAAAGGACAGCTCAATTTAACGGCTGCATTTGAACCTAAAGAATACTGTACAGGGATCCATAATGCGGGTGCTAATTCAAAACAGCCAGCCATGGGCTAAATATGCTGTGTTCCGGGTGATTTAGCGTATATATATGTTACGTACCAAGCAGGGTGGTGGCCTTACTATGCTAGGGTTGTTGGGTCAGATCCTGCTCCCTCCCTCTCAGAGTGTTGGGAGTTTGCACATTCTCCACATGCTCTTACGAGTTTCCTCTAGGATCTCTCATTTCCTGCTGTTAGGTGAATTGGTGCCTTTCAGTTGCCCTTAGTATGTGTGTGTGAGTGAGCGTGCCATGTAATGGCCTGGCGCCCCCAACAGGGTGTCCCCTGCCTCATGTTCTGTGCTGCTTGGGACAGTTGTCAGACTCACTGTGTCCCTGTATTGAATAAATGAATAAATGGTTATGGAGGGTTGGCCATAATTCACACCGAAGGGCTAACTTTATCATTAACCAATGATATTTTTTGAATCAGCGTGTGATAGGGGGGGTACTTCTGTGTTCTGTGTCCTCGCCCCTGTATATGCTCCTGGTTACATGCCAAGTAGAGATATACAATATATCGATTTCATCAGTATCAAAGATATTCGTTAAAAATCAAAATATCTATATCGGTCCGATGTGTCAGTCTTTATCGATGTTCTCAGTTGATATTTAAACGTTATCTGTATTAAAAGTTAGCATGGACAAAATGATAGAAGGACTTGCACTGAATGATCAGTTATTTTTTTGTGGAGGACAAAATAAAGGCAGAATAAAAAATTAAGTACCGTCAGTTCGCTAATCACCACCACCAAGTTTCATTGCCAGCACCCTCCCACTCAGCAAGGGACTCACAGATTATCCGGCATGGGCGATACTAGACATTCATAATAGACATACTAAATATACAGCCTTGTGTCAGCTTGTGTTTGCATTTTGGACCAGGGCCACCAAACGTAAGTCAGTTGGTGCAATCTCAATATTGCAGCTGTCAATCACATATAAATTATGCATACTTTATGACAAGTTAGATATGGACAGTCGGTCGTGCTGGCAGCTGGCAGTGCTGCCCATTCTCCTGCACCTGTTACACTAATTAGCAATACACCCGCTAACATCCTATTACATCCACTTTCAGGCGTCTCTCGGTCAGTGTACGTTACAGTGTATATTATTTACTATGGACCTCGGACATAAAGGCAATCGGATGTAACTCGATCAGGTGTAACTCAAAGTAAGACTGTACTGGTTCTCGATATCGGTCAAAACTTCGAATATTGGTGAAGCTCTGGTGCCAAGGGTGAGTCTTGTACTGTGTTTTAGTGCTCTAATAGTTCTCCTGTATTTGCACTGTTGTTGGTCTTACCGGCCCACCATGCTCCTGTCTCCTACCTTGTAGCCGTAGTACAAAAATTTCCTTGGAAATTTTGAAACATCCTCGGAAAACATGCAACAGTAAAACATGAAACTGAAACCTGCTGATACCGGCTCTTGGCCAATGATTCCATAAGCATCTCTGACGCTGGGGATTAGGGGGGACGGATTGGAACTGGATGTTTGTCCCATCTCTCTGCAGGCTTTGCTGGGACTATATGCTGCCAGTGTGACAATAAAGTGACAATCATGTGAGATACAAATGTGTTGTTTGTGATAGTTTCAGCACATAACCTCGGAGAGGCCTAGAGAAGGCCCCGCACTGAAATGTTGATCTTTACTTATTTATTTGGTAGGTGTTCAAAGTGACATTGCACATTTTTGATCTCATGCCCAGGCCTGGCCACAGCTCTAAGGTGTAGGGTGGGCCACAGGATTCCCTCGGGGTGTGGTATTTTGGAGTAAAAGTCAACAGTTTCAGAGATCTGTGTTAAACACAATTGACTTGCTATATACACAGTCATAAAAAAATTGATATTTGTCCAGCTGTTGGGTGGTACGGGCTCGTGGTTGGGTGGTACAGGCTCGTGGTTGGGTGGTACAGGCTCTGGTTGGGTGGTACAGGCCCGTGGTTGGGTGGGCCAGACTCATGGTTGGGTGGTACAGGCTCTGGTTGGGTGGTANGGGTGGTACAGGCTCTGGTTGGGTGGTACAGGCCCGTGGTTGGGTGGGCCAGACTCATGGTTGGGTGGTACAGGCTCTGGTTGGGTGGTACAGGCTCGTGGTTGGGTGGTACAGGCTCTGGTTGGGTGGTACAGGCTCGTGGTTGGGTGGTACAGACTCGTGGTTGGATGGTACAGGCTCGTGGTTGGGTGGTACAGACTCGTGGTTGGGTGGGCCAGACCCACCCTGGCCTCCCTGTAGACTTTGGCCTGCTCTCTTCTATCACTGATAGAAGAATTCTCTCTAGTTTGAGACGCATTGCCTATGTTTCTGATTTAGCTATATATGTTTTTTCAGGAGGAGCATGGAAATTAAAGCATTAATTCTGCTGATTCTGTTCCTGTTCACTGGGAAGGAGCTGTGTGTTGTTAGGCCTCGCATCGGTGGGGGGAGGGGGTATGTTGGTAGAGTTTACACAAAGGCAGTGCTGGGGGAGCCCCAGCCCAGACAGCCGCGAGAATCCCCCAGACTGGGCCAGTTAACCCCTCCCTGCCCCCGGCACAGAGCTCAAATCCCACATCTCTCTGTCAGGAGCGATTCAATTTGCCCGCAAAGCGTCTGCCGGGACCGGAGGTGGGCGTGTGGGGGGGGTGGGGAGGATGTGCAGACAGCGTGCTCTTGCTTGTGCGTGCGAGGTCTTTCTGCGAGACAATTTCAAAACAATTCAGGCGGTGAAAAAGCAAGTAAAATTATGTTTAAAATGGAAAAAAAACACCATTTTCATCTGTCTGTCATATAATGATAATCCTTTATCCTTTATCCTATCAAAATGTAAACTTATGCCCTGGGACAAGATAGAAAAGAGATCAAATGTGCCGTACGTATTTTATGAATGGTTCTGGTTTGTCTTCATCCTCTATTATTTAGTTCGTACCTGTTTGTGAAGGAAGTGTCGACTCAGTGGCACAGGAGCGTGTTAATCTCCACTCTCATGCCCCTCAGGTCAGCTGCACCATGGGGCCCTCATTAGGACCCTCGTTAGGGCCCTCATTAGGACCCTCGTTAGGGCCCTCATTAGGACCCTCGTTAGGGCCCTCATTAGGACCCTCGTTAGGGCCTTAGGTGCTACACTGAGCTATGGGGAGATGGGAGTCTGTGGGTGACAATGTGATGCCTCAAAACGGTGTTTCTCAATCCGGTCCTCAAGGACCCACACACAGTCCACATTTTGGTTCCCTCTCAGCTCCCAACACACCTGTACCAGGTATTCTGTGTTGTTGTTTGGCTGGTTGTTTGATTCAGTGCTGAGACCTGGGACTGTCTAGCGGTCTCTGAGGGCTGGATTGAGAAACGCTGACTTAAAGCAGGCAATAAAACAAGACAATAAAGATGGAGAGGCTTGCACTCATTCTGGCCTGTGTTTTTTAATGTGATTTGTCTTTTGACTGATATGACCTGCCCCCTTCCCACGGCAATTCTGTTTTCAGAACCCAAGGGTGTCCTCCCTCCCGAAGTGGTGACCATCAACAGCACCGCTGTCTGTGTGCTCTGGGTCTCGCCCCTCTCTCCCAACGGCGTGATCACCGAGTACTCAGTCTACCTGGACGGCCAGGTCCACAGGACAGGCAGCAGCACGCCCGGGTACCTGGAGCTGGGGGGGCTGCGGCCGTTCACCGTCCACGACATCCAGGTCCGTACCCCTGGTCCATTCTGGCTCAGTTCCTCTTCCCAGGGTCAGATATTCCTCAAATGCAGTCTGTCACTCCTCAGGTGGAGGTTTGCACCGTATACGCCTGCATGAGGAGCAACAGCACCAAGGTGACCACTGTGGAGGACCAGCCAGCCGATCTCCCTGCACCTGGCATCAGGGATGTCGGCGCACGGTGAGCGATCGCAGGGTCACATGCTTGCTGTCGGGGTCCGTCACTGAGATCAGCACAATAACATATAAGGGTTCATGCGCCACACACTGTACATTATAGATTTGTAAATGCACGGCTGCAAAGGCAGAGAATCACCCGACGTTTAAAAAGCATGCGATGTACATTGGGAAACATATAATGCAGCACTTGGAGTGCATTGACCTGCTTATACTGCAGTCGCCACACACTTAGCTGTTTGTACCTAAAGATATTTTCTCCTTTAAACGCCGGAAATGCATTTCTTTATTAGAACTGCTTTCTTCCGCCGTTGATTGAACATTTATTGACTTAGTTTCTGTTAATCTTAAATTGTGTATTATGTCTAGTTAGAATTAAAGATCATAATCGTGCAGTGATTTGCTACTGCGATTCGCCTGGATGGCGCTACATGTGTGGTAACACAAAATTAAACGACACTCTTCGGAGCAATCAGATTTGAGAATTCAACAGCACTAGCGTATAAGTTCATTTTAAATAACAAGTTGATATTAATATTTTGCACAGCCCCCAGATCGGTGTGTGTCTGAGTGTTTATCAGCCCTGTGTTGTGCGGCTTTCCTATAGGAACCAAAAGGGAACGTGTGTCTCCCCCAATATTTCATTTGACCTTATTTGCCCCCCCCTCCAAAAAGTAAACCTTTACATATAAATTATTAAGTTGTGTCCCACCCCCAGTGTCAGGCTCTCTGAAGGATTATTTACAGAGGGTCTGGTTAGTACCCTGACGCTTCCGGCTGCCTAAACGTAGCGCAGCTATATGCTAAACGGCGCGATGTTGGGTTGTGACACAGACAAGCTTTTGAATCCTTTTAGCCGACCGTCCGTCACAGTGTGGCCTTCGGCCCGGTCTGTGAAGTCTCATCGGGGGTGTCTGCATGGCAGGAGCAGCGGTGCCGTTGGGATGGGGGGGGGGCTGGAATGCCACCCCTCTTCCTTCACAGGCATGAATACCTGCCCCTCTGCTCTCTCTGCATTTGGGGGGGGGGGCTACCAGCATGAGAATTGGTCTCATAAAACAATGCAGAGGTGAAGAGGCGTCTGCGTGTCGAAATTTGACATAATCCATAGTACCAGAGGAGGACGCCCCCTCCCCCCCTGCCCCCCTTCCCCCGCTTGTCATATCACAGCCTTGCCGTACTTCCATCCCAATAGAATACTAACTACTGATCGATTGCCCTGACATGCCTGCCCGTGCCCTACATGCGCCTTAAACAGTTCATTTATTTGCCACGGTAGATTTGCCAGAGTGGAATTTAATCAATAGCTAATTCATTAATTCCGTCGCCCCGACTACACGGGGCCGAGCGGCGGAATCACAGGCCGGCTTAAGCTTTGATTGAAATATGACAAGTGCCACAGCTGACGGCTTCGGCGCCCCCACTCCGCAATATGAATCTCGCCTATTTTTTTTCCCCCCAGTGAAGGATTAGCGGCGAACAGAGGTGACACCTTTTGTTGGGGGGGGGGGGGGAATACTGCATTTCTTATAGTGCTGAAATTCCCTGTGATCTCAGGCTGAATTTCATATCGTGAATAAAAGGGTTTGTGGCAGCCTGCGGATAGATTCAACACTCCGCATTCGTAAGGAGGGCCTTTACACGGGGGCCCTTACAGGTGAGACCTAATCGTCAGGCCCCCTCCTCGTCATTTAGGCCACTCGTTGGGAAGGGAGCAGAGAGATGAGGAGGTGAAGCAGCAATGCCTTTGTGATCGTGTGATTAGTGTAATGGAATGTGGAGGCAGTTGTGCGAATGATTAGCAATTTTTTTTAAACTAATGCAACAAACTGTGATTTAACTGTTTTTAAAACTTGCTTTGTATTTCACTATAAAATACATCCATCAATCCATCCATCCATCTTCCACTCACTACAGGGCTGCAGTGAGTTTGGAGCCTATCCAGGGAAGCATGGGGTATGCAGCGGGGAGACCCTGGATGGGGTGGCTATAAAAGATTTGAATTGCCCTGATTTTCCAGTCTGAAGGGCACTTTACAGGGCAGTTAGGGCACTTTACAGGGCACAGAGCAGTTATGGCACTTTAAGGGGATGCAGATGTATGAAGACTATGACTGAAAACCCAGAGGAAATCCACATAAACAGAGGAAGAACATGAAGGTTCACTCGCCCAGAGTCAAAACACAGTCTCTAGACAAATCTCACTCCATATTAAAGCCAGATCGCGTTTGGCCGGCCATGCTCTCCAGCCCTCACTCCTCTCCTTCCCCCATTGCCTGCCCATCAGCTCTGTACAGCTGTTCTGGATGCACCCCCGTCGGCCAAACGGCATCCTGCTCGGGTACGAGGTACGGCGCCGCCCCCTGCTGCCCTGCACCGGGTTGCGGGATGGAGCGAGCGATAAGGGAGGACGCTGCTTCTACTTGGAGTGTTCAGCCGGTGAGGACGTCTGTGGCACCTCCTGCTTCCTGCCAGAGCTGGAGGTATGATGGCGAGACCTCATCAGAACAGCGTTCTGCTCCTGTGCCGTGCAGCTCCTGTGCCACCCATCTAAGGATAGTTTGGTGGGAAGGGGGGGGGCTAAAGCTCAGCACTAGAGAATGACGAGTATGCGGACTGAAGCCGCCGCTCTGCATGCGCACGGTGCGGCGCACGGTGCGGCCCTCGGCGATTGTTTTGAGTAAACAGATTAACTTGTCTTCCGCAATTGCTGCAATCCTAATGTCATTGAAAGCGAGCCAACTTGGCAAGTGGGCATGGGCCCAAGCATCACCGGTACTCCACCCAGACGGCGGGGCATGGGGAGGAGAAGACAAATAAGCTGTAGAAGGACAAGTGCTTCCCTTGTAATTCCGCACCGGAGAAATGGAGATGGTTTTACAGGCGCGCTAGAGGGCCTGCACTCCTAGGTGATGCTAATGAATAGCTACCTTGTGTTACAGCACCTTCTTCCAAATCCCTGCTTTTCCTCTTTTTCCCTCTCTCTCCCTCTCTCTCTCTCATTCTGTAAGGCCCACGTACAGATTTCTTATTTACAGAAAAGATCATTAGTAAAATTCCTTTGTAAATTATTCACTCCCAGTCTCCCAGTCTCGTAACCGCCATTAAGAGTGGAAAGACAATGGAGGATTTCTTGCAGTTCCTGGTTCATCACCAGAAGCTTGTTTTCAGAGCCTTTGGCGTTTGAATGTTGTGCCAGGAATACGCATGTGACCCTGGCTCTCTTGTGGTTTGAAAGGTGGAATTAGTTGGCTGAATCTTCAGAGGGACGCCCCCCACCCACCTGCTTCCCTGGGGAAGTCTCACGGCTTTATGACGAAGCCAAATGTAGCTGTGGTGTCAGTTGTCGGGGGGGTACGTGGGGGGGGATGCAGATTTTTCAGAAGCCGCATGAGTATGTCTTTGGCGCTGTGGAAAATCCATCCTGGCCTGGTCTCCTGCCAAACGATCGAGTCGGGTCTCGCTAAATTTAGCAGCCGCTCAGCTATAAGGAAGGATGGGTAGCGGCCCGAAGCCTGACCCAAACCTGCGCCGGGCCTGAGCCACTGAGCACCCCCCCCCCACCCGTGTGCTTTTTAAGGATGTTTCTGGTGCTTTCGAATTAACAGACATGGGCAGGAAGACAGGCATTTCTGTTTATGCCTAAGAATTAGCTGTAGCTCCAGTTTTACATGGCAGGGCCATAAAATTCACATTTGTGTGCCTCCTCCAACATACAGCGTGAATAGATGCAAGAAAATAAGTATAACTGCAGACTTTGAGTAACAACTAATAAATAAAACACTGCATGTAAATGGTGTGTCTCTGTCTGTCTCTCCTGTCTCTGTGGGTGTGTCTCTGTCGGTGTGTCTCTGTCTGTCTCTCCTGTCTCTATGGGTGTGTCTCTGTCTGTCTCTCCTGTCTCTATAAGTGTGTCTCTGTCTGTCTCTCCTGTCTCTGGAGTACATTTATATATCTTTGCCCGTTTTTGTCAAGGTTTGCTGTGCCGGCAAAGTGTACAGGCACATGCCCACCCACCAATGCTGTGAGGACCAGTACGTTCCAGCCCACAGCGCCCCACAGAGCATTTGCTGTGGCGGGCATCTCCTACTGCCACTGCCTGGCCACCAGTGCTGCCGTGGATTCTACGTCCCAGTCCTTCCAGGTAAGGACCCGAGTGTGTGGAATGCCGGTCTTACTCATCTGGTGGGGGGAGTGGCACTGCCTCTGCTCTTCTTGTCTCCCCTGTCAGGCGAGGTCTGCTGCCCCGATACCAAGGAGCTACGTGTTGCCGTGGGGCCCGGGAACACCTGCTGTGGTGGTCGGCCATTCTCCTCCACCGCCGGGCAGCTCTGCTGTGGCGAGGAGCTCCATGACGGCTACGGTTCGCAGTGCTGCGGAGGACGGGTCCTGGGAGATCACATGGTCTGCTGTGGAGACGGCGAGAGTGGGACGGCGCACACCCTCGTGCCCGGTGAGCCACATCGCTGGCATGGCAGGGACCTTCAAAGGGGCATATGACATGAAAGGGGTCCGGCACCAATTAAACTATAACACATGATCACCTTTTCTTAGTTAATTACTGAACTTTATCACCAAACTGTCATTAGTAAAGAAGGGGCAAATTTCCAAAATTCACTCAGTCCAGTTTAGTTAGTTTAGTTTGATGATTAGATTGCCAGTGGCCTAAAGCCAGGCCTCCTCATCATGCTATAGTATTTGGAAACAAACTCATTCAGTCCTCATGTAATCTAATGAGAAACCTTCATTTACAAAACTCACTAAATCCACAGAAACTTTCTCAAAAACATATCCTGCCAACTCAGCGAGTTTTTGATAAGTAACTGGACAAGAGCACAATTATCAGAATTGCTCTGATCGAAGTTAATAGCTTTTAACGTCATATTTAAATTCTATAGCCCCAGTATTGCTCTCTAATTCATTTTTTGGTTTGAAATGAAACAGCTCTTACAGCAGAACTGGATTGTTGCTCAGGATAGCACTCTTTCTGCTTGGTCAGTCATTTTCTGAGTAAGGACAGCTTTGCTTGCATAGAGGGTAACATCCTGTAGAGCCGTGTGATAGCAAACCTTTATTTTGGGCTCTGTGTGTGTCAGAACTCTCGCCCCCTGTTGGTATAATTCTGTCTTGCAAATAACGGCATTTATATTTATGCTAAAATAGCTTAACGTCTTTTCATGTGATTCTGGTTCTTCTGACAGTACAGCGAAACAGAAATTATTCTTAGGAACACATTGAAAAATTCACTTTCATTTTTGGTGACAAAAGCTGCTGGCGATATCTGGAGAATGTGTTGTACCCTGTGTGGGTGAAGTTTGCGTTCCAGCCCATCTAGTTGGAGTTGACAGTGTATGTGGTTTGCACAACTTATTTTTTCCCGAATACCGACGCAGGCGAATACAGTGGTGATTTTTTCAGACAGGCCATACAGCATCTTTGAAAGTTGCCACATTCAATTCGAAGATATAAGGGACACCAACCTCGCCAGCCAAATCCCCACCCCACCTGCCCCCCACTCTAGGTTCCCCAACAGTGTATTTTGGTCCAGATGTGGACTGGAGTCCACCTTTTGGGGACCCCTGACCTAGTTTATGTATGAAACAATGTGTTGGAAAATAGGGGATAAATCAGGACAAATCGCGTGAAATGGGACACAGCATTTTATTTTTCGATATAGAGTGGCCCTGTTATATACGGGACAGGTTGTAGCATAGCGTTTCTGTCACGCCCCCGCCACACCGCTGCCTTGCCCCCTCGCAGGCCACGACTCCCCGCGAGCCGGGAATTCCACTTAGCACAGCTCCTCGGTTTATTTTGGCGAAATAAGCCGGATGAAAAATCCATCCTTCATTACAGCGTGCGTCCTGTAGAGCGCATATGGTATGATGGATAGCGCCGTTAGGACAACTAAAGGCCATTTGCCTGGCGCCCACACTGTCAGACCGCGTGGAGAGCTTAACCGCCCGCCACCCCCCAGCCGAGAGCACCGCTTCTCCTCTCGCTGTTTGGGCCTCTTTAATATAGGATGGAATACTTAACCTTGATATTCCACCTCGGCACTCTCAAGTTTTTTTTTTTTTGTTTTTTTTATTTTTGCTTAATTTTTAGCGTTGCTTGCAGCGGGGGTGGGTGACATCATTGGCTCAGATGATCAGATCGCAAAAGCTTCCGTTTCAGGCTGGGTCATGTTGACTCGGAGAGGATTCATGCTCTCGTCCACGCTGACCCGGAAAGACGGCATGTTATTGGGTAATAAAGCCAAACGTAGTACAAATCCAGTGTGCGCTTCGTATATTTTAGTGGAACATTTCAGAAATTAGATAAAATTAACTGAGAAGTGGAAATATTGTACACCAGAACCTGAAAGATCGGTCTGTGCCCATAGTGCTTGTGGCTTTCCAGTGTGGAAGAGTATCAGTATAAAATAGCTATCAGTTCATTTCACTATAGACAGTTTCCTTGCTTTGTGCGCCTCCTTTAAATCAGATTCTCTCCGATCAAATGGTATTTTACGCGCTGCGTTCCTGCCTTATCAGTACTGTATGCTTATATGTGCATGATCATGTGATTAAGTCATTAGCAATGAACTAAAACAGCTGCAGATTTGCTGCAGATGTCAGAACTTAAATCAAAATTTGTTATTTTTTATATACTGCCGATGCACATTAATTATGCCCTCGTTAATGAGTATTCTTAGCTTTGGTGGTGGTTTTTAAGTAAGTTTTTTGTTTCCATTGAGTTGTAAGTTGAGTGCTTTTTCACTCAGATGTAAATAAAGGACAGCTGGATCCTCTGAGGATGTTTTTCAGAGCTCCTCGGGTCATGGGGGGGTGGGGGTAGGTGGGTGAAATGTGATTTTTGATTCCCCAAAGTGTGATCTGTCACACATCTTACTGAACAGTGTCTGGTGTCAAACTTTCCCTCTAAGACAGGAAAAGGAACTGTGGGAGACTGGACCTCGCTTCTACAAATAAACATGGCTAAGATGTGCTACGAGTGTAACGTCTGTGCTGAAATTAAATCTTAATAAAAGCGAGAAAACATTTATGAAAATTCACACGTCGTGTTATTGTCAGCTTAATGTTTTTGGGAGAGCATCAGCCTGGAACGTGAAGCACGGCAATAGAACTTCTGAAATTTGAGCAGAAAATGCTCGTGGCGGCACAGGGCTTGAGTTAATTCTGAGGAAACAGGCCTCTCACCCCAGTGAGCCCCCCCGCATACTTAACACCCTGGGAATAACTGCGCTGTGTACTGCAGCGCTCTTCATGACAACACACAAGCAGCAGCTGCACGGAACGGTCAAGGTTAAATCTTAATACTTGCACCATTCAAGTGTTAAAAGCTTTTGGAATAAGGGTGTTACCATGGTGCACATGATCACAACAGTGGCCGACACAAGCCGCCGTGCCGACAACAACGATGTAATAATCAAATATGTTTTCAAGGACACAGCGACCGTTTGCCAGCAAATATTATCCCGATAGTTAAACATTTTGCTGCCGGAGACGAGCTGCGGCATTTGTTGCAGTCCAGAATCCAATCATATTTCATATGCCCCTGCAACACGCTGCCAAAACTGTCTCACAGATGATGAGACACAAATGGCACGTCGGAGATCATTCCAGCTATTGCTGTCTGGGTTTTTACAAGATGGAACGCAGGCGTGATGCGTCGAGACGAGTAACATTAATGGATGGATGATGACTTTTTTATTGAGTCGTCCTAAATGGTATCCTTAAACTCCTAGAAACGCATTTTGGTGACTCATTTGTTAATTGCAGGATTCAGAGCCCCAGTTATCCTGGTGCCAGGATTTCTAAGCAGAGCAGGTCGGCTAGCTGAGAATTAGAGCATGTAGTGTTAATCTACCATAGTGAAAATTTTATTGCTGGTCACGTTCATTATAGGGTGTGCCTGTGCTTGTACTCTGTGTGGTGTCTAGTGAACTTGAAGTGTGCATCACCCACAAAGGGAATAAGGGTATAAAAATATGCTTGAAATAAACGTCAAGGGGCAGCTTCCTGGATGAGTAGTATTTATATGAAATGTAAAGATGCTGTAGTTTCAGTGTACATTGTTTTACAATATATCATTTTGCAGTAAAAGACTTTCTGCAGCTCACGGGTGAATAATAGATGTCTATGTACTGATGCAATATTTTATTAAATGACATGTTTTCTAGTATGTTCAAAGTATTATTTAAAAAATGAAAATAACAATTGAATTGCATAAAGTACATGGAAAGAATCACGGAAAAAGACCTGAGCCGAGGAGTGTGAAAGTAGTTTGTTTTTCCTTGTTTTTCATGAATTGTGATCATTCGTATTACAGTGTGTTTTGTTCTTTTCCATTTTTGCACATGGTTTTCTGATGTTATTTATTATCTTAAGACAACTTGCCCCATGTTCTGTAATTTTCTCATGTGTTATTCTGTAAATTCTGTTGTATTCTTAGTTTTACACATACACGTTCTGCAAAGTGTTTCTCCATGTGTCTTGTAATATTATCCTGGGCTCCATGTTTCATACACATGGAACATACATAATGGCAACAAAGTGAGTTCTCCATTATGACTGCCCAGAGGAAAGGAAAAATTCTAGTGTAACATCTGGCTTTTGTACTTTATCAGTCCTAGATAAACACAAGATCACTACAACAGACAGTTTAGAATTTAGTATCCCTGACTTTTTTGCAAAATCATCTTTCAGTAGGAGGTTGTGCAGAACCAGTTGGAATCAATACCATTTGATTCCAAGGTTTCTTCACCCAAATTGAGTCCCTTGCGAGAATAAATAAATAATATGTTAACCTTAAACAGCCCTTTTACCAGTTGCTTTGAGCCCAAAATGCTAATTTTCTGTGGGCCTCAAGCAATAGAAAACTCATCGCACTCTGCTGTGACTTTGAAAATGTATCTTGCTGTGTCCGGAGTGATTTTATTAATATATTCAGGAATTTAAAAAGGGTTTCGTTTGTTTTAAGTTTCAGTTTTGTGTCTAAAGGCTTGCGTAATCCACTACACACATTTTTATCAGTCGTTCGCTGCACAATAAATATTTACTCGTCATTAAGTGGATGAACCTTAATTCACGGAGACTAAGCACCTTATGTTTGATCTGTTCTCCCGCGCTCCAGTGACTGCATGCAAATCCATCGTGAATCTGAAGATTAGCAAAATAATTTACGCCATCAGATAAAAACATATTGGGCAACACTAGAAAAACTTCTTGTGGTCGGGTCTCCGGGTCGCTTTTCACCTTTGAAGTTGCTGATTTAATTTACGTAACAAACTATTTAGAAGAGGGTATATAAAGTAAATAGGTTTGTTTTGCAGACTGGGACCAAATAATACTGGCATTGTTCTTGGAGCAGTTTACGAGTCACATGACTGTGACTCTAGGAATGAACTTCAGCTCTGAAAGGTGTCAAAGTTCGAAACACCACGAGGAGAACCCAATGAAAAATGCTCGAGTTGCAAAGGGCGACAAAGCTATTTTGGAAAACTGTTGAGCTGTTGATTTGCAAGTCACTCAGGCTGAAGTGATGCACCCTGGGAATTGCCACCAAACCAGGCTCCGCAACATCTGCTGTCCCTAAGTGAGTTAGTGTGCGTCAGACATCTTTATGTCAGAATGGTGCAGTGATGGATGCAGCCTCCAGAAAACGTTGCATTAAAATCTGCTGCGCCGTTTTGGCTGTTAAGTGAAATTACTATTTAAATTAATGGCTCTGTCACAGTTTATCTGTGCAAAGAATGAACACTGATTAGGGTATTAAGCAATTAGCAATTTATCATACCGGAACAAGGTTGATAGTAATTAAAGTAGTGATGGTTTACCCATGGAAATAAAACAGGAGTCACTTCCTGTTAAGCAAATGCAGAAAATAAGTCTTTTGTTTGAATTTTAAATCTTTGATGTGGCTACAATAAAATTGCAGTGGATAGTGTTGCATTGTGGACTCGGCAAGTAGTCTATAACATTTTTTCCATAATAATTACCTTTGTTTAGCAAAATTGCACTCAAGGGCTGTTTTACCATTTCCTAATTTCTCAAAGCGACATTTTAAATGTATTATATACTGTATTGAATAGATTAGATTATTAAGGTCATTCAAGAGTCTTGCAAAAAAGAAAAAACTTTCAATGTTGCTGTTTTTTCTGGGACAGTCCAGGGATTGTTCCGCCTGGGACGTGTAGACCTTAATGTTTAGCTTCAATAATGAGCTTCTCAAAGATTCCTCTTTGTTTGAAAATGCCATCTGAGACGCATCCAAAAACAGCTCGGTCTCTTCCCGAACTGGCCGCGGAAGCCCTTGGAAGTGTTTAAGAGCTTTACCCAGTGGGTTCAGCCGTGTGTCAGGCTCATTAGAAACAGAAACGCTCTGACAGTTTCGTGTCAAGGTCTCTTTAATTTCCCGTTTCATCTGGAGAGGAACCTCAGAAGAGATGTAACGTATGAGCACTTTGGTAGTAATCAGTGTCTCCACAAAACACAAGTCCTGCACATTCCCTGTTACTTGATATTCTAATTTGACCTTTATACTGTGTAAAAGATGACAGAAAAAATATCTAAATCTGCAAAGGCTGCAGAATCAAATCTTAAACCCATAGTGGCAAAATGATTTTGAGCTGCCTAACTTCCCACCTTCTCACACACTCCTGAAGTTTGCAGCACTACAACAAATTATTTTTGAATTGGATGACCCATAAAGTATCTCGTTCAACAAATAACAGGCAGTAAAAGTGTGCTGTGCTTCCTGCACTTAATCCCGTGGTCAGAGCGACACAGTCCACCAGCTACGCTTGGCAAGGGGTCAGTATCGGCATTCAAGGGGGAGAAGAACTGGCCAGGACACATGACACAGCCATACAGGGGCACAGTCACACCTTAAAGGCGGCACCCTGGATGGGATGTCAGTCCGTCGCACGCCATCACGCACTACAGACAATTGAAAGGCAGATTTTCGTATGTAAGTGCACTGAGTGAGTTCAGGCTAATTTTTTTTTTATAAATATGTTTATTGATTTTAACAACCAAACATGGTAACATAGAAGGAGAGAGAGAGAGAAAAAACACTCGGCTCACTAATAGGGATTTACAGGCAAATTAAATATTAGTACACAAATTATGTTCAGGCTAATTTAACGCAACTTTTGTTAGATTACATGAGGACTGAGTGAGTTTTGATTCCTGAAGCCTGGCTTTAGGTCATAACTGTCACACCTCAGAAACAACAGAAAATGCCCTGAGTTTTTGGAAATTTGCTCTTCAATTTAGAGACACTAGTTCATGTGGCTTTGTGGGAGGACACCCATGCAGACACGGGATGATCATGCTAACTGCACACGCAGCGCCAGATGTTGAAATTATAATAATGATGTTTTACAGTTTCACTGCAGTCACACATGTGGCAATTCAGAGACACCAGCTCCCCTAACTGTAGGTGCTACAGTGAATGCTATTTCTTAAAAGGATATGATGCAGGTCCTGAAACAGCCTCCCTCCTGGCCGTGGTTCNTAACTGCACACGCAGCGCCAGATGTTGAAATTATAATAATGATGTTTTACAGTTTCACTGCAGTCACACATGTGGCAATTCAGAGACACCAGCTCACACATCTTTATGTGCCAAAGTGCCCCCTAACCCTAAAAAGGATATGATGCAGGTCCTGAAACAGCCTCCCTCCTGGCCGTGGTTCTCCGTGTGCCCCCCCCCCAGGTCTGGCCTGCTGCGGCGAGCAGTACCTGAACATGTCTGGCGTGGTGTGCTGCGGAGGTCGAGCCCACATGGCAGGGAACGGGACGCTGGCTGTGAGGTGCTGTGGGTCGGGGGTCGTCCCGCAGGGAGAGGAGTGCTGCAATGGCGTGGGCTACGACCCGCTGGAGTACGTGTGTGCGGACAGGACACCACCCGGCCTGCGTGGTCCGGTGAGTGAGACACCACCCTGAGAGAGAGAGAGAGAGAGAGAGAGACACTACTTCTATATATTATGCACACACACATGTATATCAGTGTTTCTCATCCCAGTGTCCAGGGACCTCCAAACTATCCATGTTTTTCCTCCCTCCCAGCTTCCAGCACACCTGAACCAATCAACCAGCCCAGAACACCAAATACCTGGTACAAGTGTGCTGAGAACTGGGAGCGAGCAAAAATGTGGACTGGGGGTCCCTGAGGACTGGGTTGAGAAACACTGATACTTTGGGTTACGGTGAGCCTGGACCCTATGCCAGGAGGCAGAGGGCAAAAGGCAGGGGACATTCAGGATGTATACATGCACATATCCCCTGTTTTTGGACCATGAGGGGATACCAGCGTACCCAGATGAGACCCGCACACACATGGGGAGAACATGCCGACTCCACACACTGAGCTAGTGGTGGGATTTGAACCCCCAGCCCCGAGGAGTGTGGTCACAGTGCTATAGCCCCAGAGCCAGTCCCTGTCCCTTCCTCTCTTATTAAGTGACACTGTGTCTCGGGGACTGTGATGGCGGCACAGATAAGGCGCTGGCTTTTTTATCACGCCGTACAGTGCATCCCAAAGGTGGAGCCCCACCTCCACGTCGCCGCTTGACATCTTTTAAGAACTGACGTGTCCGGATCTATCAGAGTGAAAAGTGGGCCCCGGCGACAGTGAAAAATATTACATGTAAAAATAGGAAGATCAAGCACGGCCAGGGGGAGGCACTATGTAAAGCCAGGGCTTAGGCCGTTAACCTGTAATGATGCAGATACGCAGACACGCATGTACGCACTGTGATACGCAGACACGCATGTACGCACTGTGATACGCAGACACGCATGTACGCACTGTGATACGCAGACACGTATGTACGCACTGTGATACGCAGACACACATGTACGCACTGTGATACGCAGACAGGCATGTACGCACTGTGATACGCAGACACACATGTACGCACTGTGATACGCAGACAGGCATGTACGCACTGTGATACGCAGACACGCATGTACGCACTGTGACACGCATGTACGCACTGTGACACGCATGTACGCACTGTGACGTATTACCGTTTATTCATTAAACTCTCCTTTGGAATTGTTTGTTTTTCCAGCAGACGGATTGCCGGCCCTCCGCTCTCTGTCCGCTGTCCGCCGCCGATACAGCTTACTGCGGCACCTGTGGCCTCGACCCGGCAGTGTCAGTGTGCGCCCTGGTGTCAGCGGCGCCCCCTGCCTACCCTCTGCACGCCCCCTCGCTGCCTGGCCCCCTGTCCCCTCCTGGGGAGCTCTGCCCGTCCGTAGAGGAGGTTGTGTACAGCGGAGGTGCGGACAGATACTCGCTCACAGGTAGGGCGTCTCGCTGATCAGTAATAATATAATAACCTTTATTTATGTAGCGCTTTTCGTACATGAAATGCAGCTCAAATTGAGTCATATATGGAATTAAAGTAAGAAGATGCAGAAGCTTTATAAAATACACAATTAAGGTGCCAGCCAAAGTGTAGAAAGAAGAAAAAAAGAATCTAAAGATAAATATATAAATTTAGTAAAATATTAGATGAAATAAAAGCAAATTAATTAAGGTGTGTAAACCTTTCTAAAAGGACACAGAGCCAGATAGGGGGCCCCTAGATATGCAACCACCGCTAAAATCGAGCCCCTGATTATAGAAATGTGAGGCTACCTGTCCCTCTGTATATAAATACACTTTCCTCATTGACCTTAACGTTATTATTTATATACCTCACCTTCCGCACAGAATCGGCATATTTTTCAGCTGGCGTATTGCGGCCAGCATGTACTACAGAATGATCTTGGCGGCGTCACCCAGAGGCTCGCGATCGGCGCATTAATAACGCGGCGGCCGTGCACGCGCCCCGCCGATTAATGCGTCCCTCGGTGCCGCAGCAACGGAAGCGGGCCGAGGCGCTCACAAGATTTACGGGCGACAGGGCGGGGGCGGAAGTGAGGGCCGGCATCGATTGCCGCACGCCGCTGCCATCGTCGTCTTTGGTCTGTCATCGTGCCCACCCCCCGGCAGGGGAGGGGGCCATTTAAATAGCCTCTTGGTTCAGCCCTATTTGTCTCTCCGACTTGGATTATTTTTCGTCCGGGTTTTCCGGCGCGTTCCGCGGTCTGCTGGATGTGTGTGTTTAATTAAGACTAATGGGTTGATGGAGACTAGGGTGGTAGGGGAAGTTGGGGGGCGCGGGGCTGGGGGGGTGATTGGCATGGGGAGCGGGTGTCTGCTCGTTCGCTGTGACACCATCTGGGCAAAGGCGCAGGCCTGCAGTGCCCCCCCTCGCTCTTCCAGATGTTTCTCACGGCCCCATGCTCCGGGGGAAGTGACACTTAGCACGCCCACAGGAAGACGGCAGGCCCGGCCCCCCAGTTAGGTGTCCCGTCGCGCTTCAGGGCCATGAAACACCGTAGCGATGGAGCCTAGTGTGCCATAAGAATTCAGTGTATTGTATTTAAAATTCCAGAATTTAGAACGGGCCATAAATGCGTCGATCCCCCGCTGCTCCTTAAAACAAGCCTTTCCTCCAACAGAGTGACAAAAGCTTTTCCTTTTTTTCATGCTCTCCCATGGCTCCATAAAGGACACATATGGTCGCAGTCAAGCCGTACCCCGTCGTAATGTTTTATTTATGCGCACGCTTGTTTTATGTATGTTTTCCCCGGTTGCGCTCATCGCGATAAAGGTCCTGGGTGGGTTGGGGGTGAGGGGTTTTATATATCAATAATGTTCACGCTTACTGCCCCCCTCCCAGCCAATTTTGGTTTGAGAATTATTTTTTTAAAAGATACAGTTACCACTGAACAACATGTATTTTGGTCAGATTTACTTTTGCCTCATTATATGTGGTTGTTGCTGAATCTGCAATGTTTTGAAATACTTCAAATATGAAATAAGCCATAAACTGATAGATTATATAGCATGTAAGATGCAAGCCCATCAGTCAATTTACATAATTAAAAGTCAACCAATCACTATCACGATTGCAGCAGCAATACTTTATAGAGATACAGACATTGTCCGTGTGACAGGAGTATGGATTGAGTGAAATGGTACCTGAATGAGAATCTCTCTGTCGGCAAGAAGTTTAAAGTGTGTTTCAGAATTCACATTTCAGCGAGCTGCCGTCCCAGAGGTCAGAGGCCAGAAGTAAACGCTGGAGCATCTTGACGGGAAGACACCAAATGTCCTCCGTCAGAGCAGTCATGGCTTCTCCTGAATCCAGTATGGAAATACAGAGCAGGCCTGGAGAGGGAGTTAATCAGCAACCGTCAACAGACTTCTCACGTCTGAAGGGGTGCTGTTTGGCTGCGGTCGGTGCAGAATCTCACCATAACAATCTGTAAAACTGATGGGACCCAATGCTAGCAAATAGCGACAGGTTATGCATGTGTGACGGACAGTCAAGCAGTTAGCATGCTCTCAGCTAGCTCGTTCAGAGCTTTGGGTTCTGCTACAGTATATCTGAGCTGCTATAATACCTAACGGTATGATTTTTAGCAACCTGTTTTTCCCACATTTCTTTTTTTCTCAATGTAGCCTCCAGTATGACTCATTATGAGTAGGGGGAGTCCGTTCAAGAATACCAAATGAAATGAAGAAGGCAAGAGGCTGCTTAAAGCAAACAAACAAACAAAAAAAACTATTTATTCTCTTTGCATGGGTATCTGGAGGTACAGAGCATCAAAGGTGCATCACACATTAGCAAAACAAAACTAAACTGTTAACAAATAGCACGCTGTGAGCATAATACCAGGAGGACAGACTGGTACGCTTGGTGTAAGCTAAGAGGAGCAGTTGTTATGGAACTTGCACTTCGCATATAAACAACTACAGCCCCAACCCCATGGGGCCATTCACCCGTGAAATCCTAGCGTGCCACCTGTTTCACATGCAGCCGGGAAGCTAAAACACTACACAGAAGCATTTACAAAACATCAAAGGAGAAACCGGGAGCAGTATTACAGCTCCATTGAAGGATGCGGCGCTAAGCAACCACGGTGAATTCTAAAAAGAAGCGATAGACACGTTAATGGCATCAGAAACAGTCTGGCGGTACAGAATGCACAGCGATGGCACAACCACCCCGACAAAGCAATGCTTCACTCCGGCGAAAATCTATATCAGCCAGTCAAGGCGTATGCAGACTTACAAATGCCTCTGGGCAACATCGACCAAAGAAACCCAAATTCGCACCTAGAGAAGTTTGTTCTTCCTGTGGCAAGCAACAGCACAGCAACCAAATGCAGCGCTGCTTCGTTTCCAGCCTTCGGAAGTCACGTCTCCATACAGTTACTGCTCTTCCGCTGCCTCATACCTCACTCTACTACACTGTTTTTTCTCTCTGTCTAAAGTACGTAATATAAGAAACAAGGATCCATCTACCATTACAACCACTTACTCAGTACAGGGTCATGGGGAATATAGAACACGTAATAGAAATATAATACAGCTGATTTTCAATATGCATTGAAGTTTAGCATGTAAACATCAGTGAGTGACAGATCCCACTGCATTTGTGAGGAAACTTTACTTAAAAGGCCTGCTCAGTGATGTCAGCATGAGGCTCAGATTTCTATTTCTAGGGAAAAACCTGAAAGCCTTTAACTGAGTAGCTTTTATCTAAATCCAGTTTCCCGTAAGAAACCACATCGCCCACAATGAGAAGAGCGACCCTCAAAACTCTGTAGGAACTCTGTAGGTTTGTCCCTTACCGATGGTCCGATTCCTCTTCTCATTTACACTTTGTGACTCATAAGCAGCATTGCTAATGTTAATCACCCGCAATCCCATTTTTCTGAAAAAATTCTGGGCAGTACAATAAAATTTTAACTGTATACTTCCTCTTTACCTCTTGTGTATGTCCAGTTTGGTTCGGGCAAAAAAGATATACGTATCTTGAAGTTGTTCATGTTCACTGTGCTGAATAAATGCTGTTCTGTTTACAGTACAAAATTGAAAACGTATGTTTTTTTTTAATGACCAAGGGAAACCTATTTGCATATTTTTATGTTGGCATGTAATGTAGGCCTGTTGATTTGCCCACTTTGCATACGGATTGGGAGATACCTTTACTTTTTCTCTCTGTGCAGTTTCATTTGTAAAGGCAAAGTTTATAGCTTTGAGAGTGTGGCCCTTCAGTCTAGGGCTTTGGGATGTGACTGGTCCCCGACCACGGCCTGCTCTGTTTCAGACACAGGTCTGAAGCCCTTTACTCAGTACCAGTACAGAGTGGGCACCTGGAACAGCTTTGGTTGGGGCTACAGCGCCGTCACCCGGCTCACCACCGCGGAGGACGTCCCCTGGGGAGTGAGCGCCCCCCGATGGTCCCGTGCAGGGGAGCACAGCGATGCCATCCTGCTGGACTGGCAGGAGCCCACAAAGCCGAATGGTAACTATAACCTGTCATAGCTATTCCAACAACAATAATGCAGGTTCTTTACATAACATACAGCTTGATTGCAATTGCTAAAAATTTTGTTGCCAGTTCCTGCAATAATTTTAACATTTTAACTTTTGCCAAATTGCTTTTGTTGATTCAGAAGTCTAATTGTCATTTGTTGTCAAATTAGGTTAGCTGCATACCTTACATTAGATCTTTTTTTTAACTCAAACCTTGTTTTTTCCAGCTATAGTAGAATGGATACAGATATCAGTACATGATGTTTATTAGTTTCATATTATTATTTTATTTGGGCTAAGCCATATTGCTTCTGTTTACTGTTTTGTTAGAATGTAGCCACCTGGGTTAATTTAGCTAATCAGTTACCCTGCCTTGCTGAAGACATTTGTCTTGCAAAAAGACTTCATGTAGGGCTGATCCAACAAAACACAGGAAATGCAGTTTGTTTGATAACAGTGGTTTCATTTGAAAAAAAACGGGTGGTTAATTTGTCATCATTTCCAAAATGATGCTTGTTATTACGGCTAATCTGCACAGTGGGGGAGACCAACTATCACTTATGATCTCAAAGAATCCTCCTAAGCTTCATTTGAAAATTTCCATGCATCTTAATGTGTAAGTTAATGCTGCGATTGCCCGTTAGACTTCATTTTGCTCTTTAATGAGTCGCCTTGCCAGAGATCTGCTATTCCAAGCTGAGCTGCTGTGCAGCGAGCTGGTAGAGCTGGGCCACACGCAGAGCTCAGCCATCACTGTTCCCAGCCTGCTTTTGGAGCACCTCCGTGTCCCAGACCTTCCACCAGATCCAACTGCCCTTAGTCTTTTCAGCTTTTCTCAATTGGATATTTAAACTCAAAGGGGTAGAGAAATGTTATCTATTGGTGGTTTGAATGAATCTAGACATTATGCCTTTTTTGTCCTGAATTAATCTGGTCCCCAGCGAGTTCTCTCATTTGTGGCCTACTTGAAGTTGTACCATACTTGAAATGGTATTAATATTAAAGTCGTGAAGAGTGAGGCTTGTGCAGGATTTTTGCTGTGATTCTGAGCCGGCTGTACTTTGAATCCTTTGTTACTGTGAATCTTTGCCATTCTCTTTTGCTGTTCTTTTAACCTGCTTTGCACAGTTGGCTCTTGTGGACACCGTTTGCTGGTTTCTTTAGGTCTGATTGTGAGTTACACAGTACTGCGGGATGGACAGGAGCGCTACAGGGGCATGGATCTCAGCTTCATGGACGTGGGGGAGATCCACCCCTTCCAGGAGTACGAATACCAGCTGAGGGCCTGCACTACTGCAGGCTGTACTGACAGCAGCAAGGTAGGAGTCGTTGCAGATCCATAGCTCTGCTCCCATTGGTGGGCTGAAACCTATGGGACTCGGGCCGACCTATCAGATGCATCCAGTCTAGAAAAGGCCAATCCATGGCTTCCTGGGCCTCACAGATGTGGCTTAATTCTTAGCCCATGTTAGCGTTCCTCATCATGAGCGTAGCATTGTCATTATCAACACAGGGGTGCACATCAGCAAGAGGAAATGGAAAAAGAGGTTTACCAGCTTTGTGCTGATTGGGATCATTGAGGATCAGCCATGTAGTCTTTAAACCTGGTTTCCCTTCAAGATATCGTTCTCATATTACCAGAGTCATAAAATACATGAACACATATCTCCACTTTCTTAACTCTTACCTTTCTGTTTTGTCTAAATATTAGTTATGTCCCATTGTAGTGTTTGTGAGGCTTGTGGTTAACAAGTTAATTCTATGTCGCTTTTCTGTCCTGCTCCTGGGGCCCGGATATGAGGCCAAAGGAACTTGGTTATCTGCCATGGATTTCGGATTTCCATTTCGCAGCACGGATTCTCCGAGTCGCTCTTTTGCTTTGTGACCTAGTTGCTGTTTTTTTTAAATAGTGATTCCAGTTCATAACAAAAACAAGTGTAAAAAAAAGTAACCAGAATATCTGTGTGAAACAGAGGACAGGAGCGATTCTCTGATTCTTTTTTTTTAATGTGTGAGGCGCCATCATTCATACAGAGAGGCCAACCTTATTATTACCCAATGATACATTTTGAATTGGTGAGTGACAGGGCAGGAGGTACTGCGAGGGCCAGTCAGGCTTCAGCTCAGACCCCATAGCCCCGCCCTTACATATACCCCTGGGAACAGGTATGATAGCCTGAAGCGATTTGACGGATTGCTAATACAGCAGCACTAATACAGTAACGGTCCACCGAGCAAACATTTCTCACAGATGCCATTCAGTGCCCGTCACATCACGATGACACACATCTCAGAATAATTACCGTCTTGACACAAGTGAAGGAAACCCAAAATGAAAGCCCCGTTACTGCTCTCTCAAACGGTGTATCTGATTATCCCAACACAGTTCTGCCAGTGTTATGTTAATTTCTGCAATCGAAGGAGCTTTCCTGCTGTACTACTCCCATGCATCCATCTTCCGGAAGCACATATCCAGCACTGGCTCGCAGTGATCCTGGGGTCTCAGGGGGTGCAGTGCACTGGGCAGGAGGTACCCTGGTCAAGATGCCAGCAAAGGAACATAAACACATACAGGGCAATTTAGAGATGCTGTTTCCCCTTGACTGTGAACCTGGAAGAGACGGATGCATCAACATGCTAACTCCATCCCCACAGAGCTTGGGGCAGCTTTTGTACCCATAACCCTGCAAGTGTGAGGCAACTGCCCGCTGAACCACCATGCAGCCCTGCTGTCATGCAGATTCTGTCAAATTCCCTCTTATACCTGGAGAGGGCAAACACCTTAGAGGTTAATTATATCTGTATCTTGTAATCCCCACAGCTCATTGATGGATGGATGCATGGATGGAAATGGAACAAACGCAGTCCACTGCTGTTTGACGATGCAGTCAGGTGGCTCCACAGCAGGTCCTGAGCGAGAAGGATTAGGTTCTACACTCACAGGCATCACCTGACCGGCTGCAATTATTGTATATTGCAATACAAACGGGGCAATTACACGCGGGATAGGCGACGGCGGGCACTGGCGTTTATGCTGCCCGGGGCCTCGGCCGTGACAGAGAGGCCTGATTTAATCTCCGGAGACACTCACCGGGCTGGCCGCGACATCAGCAAGAACGATGGGGCCTCTGCAGCGTGGCTGCGGCCTTACCGAGGCCTCGCCGTCCGCAAAAGGAGAGAACGGCAGCCGGGCGGGGGAGGGCGGGGGAGACGCCTTAACTTGGTCTCCCAGCTCTCTCCTAATAGTCTGCCATTCCTGAAGACAAGAGTTTAAACAGCTAGTGACATTCTATTAGAGCAGGATATCCAAACCTCCATTACAGCAAATTGCCCTGTAATTCTTTTTGTCTTCAGGTAGCGGTGGTAACTGTCCAGGGAGTCCCAGAAAACGTCCCGGCGCCCACGGTGAGCGCCCTGGGCCCCCGGGCCCTGCGGCTGAGCTGGACGGCGCCGAGCCAGCCCAACGGCATCATCCGCGAGTACCGCATTGACCAGATCGGAGCTGGGATCGTCTTCACCGCTGGAGGCGGAGCCAGGGGACACAACATCACAGGTGCGTGTGGCAGGGAGGTGATGTCACATGGCAGCGTGACTCCCAGGCTTCCTGTCACTTGCCACCAATGGCTGCAGTGCTTTGTGTTCTTTTTCCCCCACTTTGACTTCAGCTTATGCTCCATACTGCTTTGTAGAGGCAAAACACCATGACTGCGTATTTCATCAAAATTGAGTCATGACCAACATCGGGTCTCGTAGGCTCTTGCTTTATCTCGTGACAGTATCTTAGTTCAGCTACGCACGGTTTACCAGGCGTCACTAGGCCGGGGCACTGGGGGTTCGAGCCCCAAATGTATCCGAACGAGCCCCAAATAGCTCAGATGTTTTAGATGCAACCATATTCTCAGTTTGAGATCTGATGCTACACCCATGTTGTCTTAAGATTCTAACAACACTCTTGCGAATTATGTACATATTATGTATTCAGGTGGACAGTCAAAAAGCTTGAAGCCCTTTTTCCTGATTTCAGTGTCAGTGTAGTTACTGTGTTTTGCCTTCGTGGGGCAGCATGCAGCAGCTGCCCCTCTGTGATCAAAGCCAGAGAGTTTTAGTCCATTTTAACCACTGACCAACTGCTGATGGGTCTTTTTACGCTTGGGCATTATTGTGGTAATGCAGTATACAGTGGTATTTTGGGTATATTGCTGTATTTTCTGCATATCGTGATATTTTGAAATCTTGGCGACAAAATTAGCCGTTCACCAGAATTTAGTGTGGGGGGCAGTACCCCCAAATTTTATCGCAAATATCTGGACGGTATGAAAATCTGCGCAAGCCTTGTTGCTTTCCGTTCTGAAGACAGTTGTGAGTCATGTTGCTGTAAATATTTGCTTGGGCTTGAAAAGATACAAAGAGACTAAAGGGATTAAGTGGAAATAACAGATTGTTGGTAACACAATCAGTTCCATCCCAACACCCAGGTCGTTAAGAGAAATGGTTGCTAAGTGAAAATTACGGTAGCCTAGGCCTGTCTGCGACTGTGTTTCGTGCTTCGAAGAGCACTGGTTACGTTGTTATTCAGCTAAAATTGTCGTACAGCTACCCCAGCATTACTGTCACTTCAACGTGCTTTTTGAAATTCCATTAGAAATATGCAAATCAGTCGAAAAATAAATTTTTTAATTGTCGTCCAATTTGCAAATGGTTACTAACCGAGGGAGGCGCAAATCAAGGAGTGATTGTATAGCCGGGAGCTCCATAAGGATCCGCGTAAGTCCCCGTGTCAGCTGGTGTACGGACCAGCGCGAGCAGCTACTCGGGCCTGGGCTGAGGAGAGTGAAGAGCGCTGCGATGCAGTGTCTTCACCTACGCGGGCCTGGGCTGAGGAGAGTGAAGAGCGCTGCGATGCAGTGTCTTCACCTACGCGGGCCTGGGCTGAGGAGAGTGAAGAGCGCTGCGATGCAGTGTCTTCACCTACGCGGGTCTGGGCTGAGGAGAGTGAAGAGCGCTGCGATGCAGTGTCTTCACCGCGCCGCCATGCTTATTTATGCATGCCATTTCCAGGAGGAATCTAACAGCTGAATTTATACCCGGTTCCTGCAACATGCGCCCGCCCTGCCCGTCACACCCTGCACCGCTGATTTGTGGGACTCCTGTCCATTCGGCTGAGGAGCTGCACTGACAGCCTTGCGCCATCCGTCACGGGGAAGGGGTTGCACGATGCGCGTAGGGGTTGCCTGGAATGCGCCTAAGCATGCCATCTCTCACCTATTGCCCCCGCACCTTATTGCCTGTTATTGTCCAGCCTGGGTCCTCTTGTCTGGGTGTGTGCGTGTGTTTCTTTTTTTTATTAAGGAGAATCCTCATTCATACATAAGCACTGGCATTGTTCCAAACAAGTAAATAACTAAAAACTGCATGAATATGCATTGCAAATATGCAGTTTATATCCAGGATGCAAAAAAGGAGGGGTTGACTTAAAATGTACTGGAGAGAGATATTTTGGGCTGGCTTCAATGAAGAGCCCCAAAGCTTTAGAAGTGAGGAAGCAGCTCAGCATCGGTGTGGAGAGCATGGCTATGGAGATGGAGCGCATGGCTATGGAGATGGAGCGCATGGCTATGGAGATGGAGCGCATGGCTATGGAGATGGAGCGCATTGCTGCTTACCTCAAAACGTGACTTTCAGTATAAATGGATCATGTACTTCCCAGGGTTTCCTTTAATTTGTGATTTCAGAAAAGTACCATTGAAATATGTTAGTGGATATACAGTATGTACTGTATTTGTGTCCTCTTAATGGCCTTGTTTTAAAAAAATAAAAATAGATATTAATCTAGTAGTTGTAATTGTAATAGAAATACTGGGCAGGACTTCTTTTTAGATGGAAGATCTTCTCTCAGGATGAGAAAGTCAGTGATGATGATTGTGATTAAGAAGAATCCAGAAAGTTCCCCTGTGAATAGGATCTCTGCAAGTAGGTTTGGTGTTGTAAACTGACTGATGTGCGTGATTCTCCTCCTGCAAGAGTTAGGAATCTCTGGTCTCTCATAGGGAGCCATGCTCAGATCTCTCCTGTGCATGTCCTTCTTGGATTGGGCACCTGAATCCTGGTGTTGGCCTTGAAGGAACCATTCAGGTTTCCCAAAACCATTGTCTTCATGTGGCTCTGATCATTTTCTATGTAGCAGGGCCTTTGATTCGCGCCTGTTGAAGCAGGTCTATTCCACAGGCCTCCTAGCCTTCCTGTCTGGCGCGTGACAGAAGATCCTAAGCATGTTGTTTTCTTCTTGAAACAGGGCAGGATAAACTTAATATTCCTTTCTTAGATTTATAGGTTGATTTTTAGACTGCTGGGCAGAAATGTAGCCGTTAGATCTGGCCTCAGCTTAGGGAACGTGTCGGCGAATTTGGAAGGCTCTGCCCTTTTGTAAATTAGCCTGAAATCAGCTGGGAAAACAAATGGCCCCATTCCTAAGGCACCCGCTGTCAACCAAAGATATTTCCGAAAGCGGTACCAGGAGGGGAGCTGGAGTGCACCGAAGGCAGGCAGTTGGCAGAGGCGAGGGCCTAGTAAGCTAGTCGGCAAATCCCAGAGCTGGGGGGGGATCTGATGGTGAAATTGGCTGTCCGGCAACTTTGCATGTTTAAGACTTGGCGAGGGCGATGCCAGTCATTCCCCCGTCCGACGGAGAGAGCGGCGTGTCGCTGCCGCAGCGCCAGACTCGTACCCACAGGCCTGGCAGGGATGCCTTGTTTCTACGCCGGGGTTCCCTTTGTGGAGAGGATTTAAGCCTCCGTGAGACTTTCATGTCCTGCTGTTCTGTAGCCAGTAAATCCGCAACCCCCCCCCACCCCCTACCCAATGCGACCGGGACGTCTCTCTCTCTCACAGCCGCGGGCTGGCTTTTCCATGGAAAACACCTCTGTTTGCCGGCCGGAGGTTTGTGGGCCTGCCGCGCGTGAGCTGGCAGGATTAGAGGCATGTTCGCGGTTCGCTCTCCTTTGTGGGAACGCGTTTCCATAACGACCGCTGGGGCCCTGCCTCTGACTCTCCCCCAGTATCGCTAACCAAGAGGCCTAAACAGGAGGTGCTCCTGAGACTGGTTTAGGAAATATTTGCACATTTGCACATTCATATTTAATTATGTTTCTTTTGGTTTGCTTTTGCTAGCTACCTACTGTGATTATATTTCAGGGAGTAAAATATAAATTAAGCCAAATTCAATTTGAAAAAGTTTTGTATATATGTTAATAGTAGAGATATTAGTGGTATGCATAAATGTTCATGCCAATTTAGCTGCAATGAAAACCAAAATTGGTGATTAAAAGAACAAAACTTGTAAAACTCGGTGATAACAGGGAGCCATGAAAAGGTAGGTCTCCTTAAAGAGGGGGAGTCTTGCCACAATAAATTTTGCCAGTAGTCTAGCACATGTTTTTTGATCCGTCCACTAGCATCCTGCAGAGATGTCTGAGGTGTGTGAATGATGAGTGTGGAGTCTTTACGGAGGCAAAACCTGAGCCGGCGTGAGTCACAGATCACGTAAACACTGCATTTATTCATCCTGCCGCTGAAATGAGCTAAAATCATACAAACGGGCTATGGCTGTCAGACTCATCCACCAAACTCTGTTATTGTACGGAATAATAGCTAAATAAATGAAATCCTTTATTAGTGATAGACGTAGACTGGTGCTGTAGCCCTGAGGGGCCAGGAACAGAAGAAGCAGAAGACAGATGAACATTTCTATGAAATACGAGTTTAAATAATTGGTGTAGTTTTACGATGCTTAATGTTTCATGCGACATAATTCATTCTCTCGTTATAGAAGCTCGAATCCGTTACAGGACTTGCAGAATTCGGGTCTCTCCACGGACACTTCTTTAGCCGGGAATCCCTTGGTCATCACCGGATACAGGCCAGGTGATACAAAGGCATTTGTGGATTTAACAGTTCAACTGTGCATGCATGAATTGTTAAATATTGCAATTATTACATATAATTGTGGAAAGGAAAAGATTTTAAGAATAGATCGGTGTTAATTCTTTTCGCGTCTTAATTTGTGTTCCCTGCTGCTCACCCATTAAAAAAAAAGTTATTCATGTAGTTTGTATAGATATAATGTAGCTTGATATCAGTATTGTACAGTTTAAAGCAGCCCCCTGTCCTTGTTTCACTAATGTCTTAGCGCCTTGCAAATAGGCCTATATGTGCAATAGCCTTTTTACGTATTTTTCACTTGTGACAAATGGATCATTCAATTATGACTAAGAGTCATAGTCTATTTCTGGGTTGCAGATTAAAGCAGCTTCATAGATGGACACCAATATTTCATCATTTGCAATGGCTTTAGCCGAAAACTGCAATTAATGGTGCAGGTAGATAGCCAGGTTACTTGTAGGCTAAACAGTTGTGTCAGATTAGTTGCAGTTGGAACTGGGACTTTTCATCCCTATTTTGTCGTTGTTTTTTGGATCTCCCTTACTCTCAGACCTCCTGTTTCTTTTACCGGGATGGCCCTAAGCTACAGGATGCGTCTCACCCCACAGGCCATGTTTAGATTTTTGAGGATCGGTGCCCCTCCAAGGCCCCTTGACAGAGGACAGCGTCCTCTTATCCAAACACTCGTTTGTTTTTCGGTTTAGCCGTGCAGACACTTCTGCGCTCATAATGACCGACCTTGACCTAGACTGAGATGGCACCGTGGGTGTTTATATTTAGAACACGCTGACCAAGAGCGCGCTCCCATGTGAAGGCAGTGCGATTTCACACACCCTTAGCTGAACGCCGGGTGCCTTCGAGCTGGCCAGCTTCAGCACGGCTCGCCGGTGGCTCCGGGGCTCCGTTCGTGCCGTCACCGGGCACAGCTTTGTTTTCTCTTTTTTTCTGCATTTATTTTAGCATTTTTTAATCTTTGCTGGTGGGGCCGTGCAGAAGTAAAGAAGCCAACTATAAATGACTCCGCTTCCACCAGCAGTTTACATCCCTTTTCCCCCTGTTCTATTCTGATAAATATTATATGATAAAGTTCCTTTAAAAATTTGAATCGATCGCGGTCTGTGTTTGCGAAAACCAAATACATTCACAAATGGAAAACATTGATCTAAATACACTTAGAATGTCAGAGTGACGAGACCTTTCATTCTTCTGGCTTTTAGTTCACTGTATAATGGTCCCAAATTACAGAGAAGCGTAGAAGCTAAAGAATCCACGATACGTTTAATTCCACTGATTCTGTTTTTCTGTTTATGCTTTGTTTAGTGGGTCATTTTTGCCATAGAATAAAAGTGGCGATATTTGCTTGCGGGCCCTGATTGTACAGAACTTGGCTTAATGGCTGTGAGGTGGACTGAGGACCTCCCTGTGCTCAGAAATGCGGCCTGTGGAAGGAGACCCAGCAGAGCCTTACCTTATTCTAAGCGATGTGTGAGTCGAGGAAACCCAATGCCATAGAACGTATCCGGGGCGGCCTCTGAACGCGGGACCCACAAATTGCTTCATAATCCTCTCCAGACAAAAAAAAAAAGGCATTAAGTAATTGTAGACAGGAAGTCCGCACTTAATTATTTAGAAGCGTTATCAATGCTGTAAGTAAACTGAAGCCTCTGCAGTTGTCTCCGTCCGATACCACTGGGGGGCTGGGGGCCTGCGGCCATCATCTTCTCATATTCTCTAATGCAAACTGTAAATGGCAGCTTGTCAATAAAAGATCTTTTTTATATCATTTATCGGCCAACACTTCCACATTCCTGTACGGAGTGATTCAGATGACAGTCAGCTCCATGTCGTTCGCGCAGCGCCACAAACGTCATAGGCCGTGCACCGAAAGTAGTGAACGCTAAAATTATTCAAGCTTCTTTTTTCCTCTCCCTTTTAATTGTATTTATCCCCATTTCGCATTTTATTTATTTGTTTGTTTGTTTGTTTAATTACTTATTTTACCTGTTCGTTTCTTTTAACTTTAGTGGCTGATTCTTAAACAGACTAAGAGTGCCCCCTTCAGTATCCTTGCGTGCACGCACTCAGAGAGGGGAGAGCTCGGGGGAGGGACTGCTTTGAACGGCGTCTGGGCAAGGCCCTGCTGAATAATGGGACCTCATAATGCCCGCGTCGCTGTTTATCTGCAATCTCGCATGGTGCTATACAATTACAAAATCAGAAATGAATTATATGTTTTAAGGATTATTGCTGGGTTTTATTTTAAAAATGTACTGTTATTCACATGACTTTCTTGGAAATAGCTAATAATAATTTAGTCACCATTTATAAATATTTGCTCCCAGTGTAGGAAATTTTAAAGGATCGCTCCCGTAAGAGTAACTTTACATTCTGACGGCATTCTGCGGGTCATTTATGCATATGTGGTTTCTTATGCAGGTGTTTTCTGTCACTGTTGTCCTTTGGAAAATTCGATCTCAAAATTAATTTCTTTAATTATTTACTCAGCCTGTCAAACATTTTCAGTCCATAATGCTTGAATTGAATTTACATATTTGCAAAGGGGAACAAAAGGATTCTTCTGTTTCTTACAGGGGATATTCAGTTCTATAAATATAATCAGAGCGCTTGAGTTTTCGCCAACTCGGCCGGTATTAACATAATTTAAAACCCTACAATAAACACCTGAAGAGAGGCAGTCGGGCTTGGCTATTTGCGAAGTGGCACTTTTATGCAATAATCTGTCTCTGTCTCCGCACTTAGCATCCTTAATAGAAGGGCTACACTTAACCCAAACACAGATCCACATTCTGAGGACATTGATCTGTGTTTGGGTTAAATGCAGGGGGTTGTAAAGCATACAGAAGTGAGCCACGCACCCCGCCCTCGCTGGCATGAGCTCACCGTGTCCTCGGACACTTTTTCCCTTTTTTTTTTTTTTTGGCCCAAGACGCCGTGCTAGAGGCAGGTGGATGACAATGCTCTCTCTCTCTCTCTCTCTCTCTCTTTTTTTTTCTTGGTTGTTGCTCATAATCCTCTAGTAATACTACAGCATATATGTCTGTACATATTTAAATGCATACATTTGAAAGAATGATTAATTATTAGATTTATTGTAGTCAGTGCACAAGCTATTTTTACAATGAACAGAGAATTAAAACCCATTATTAATAATGGTTAAATACATCTTACTTAGATTTGTGTTAAATAATTTTTCATCAGGAAATTTGTTTTGTAATTTTTTCCCCGTTTTTGAACATTCTTATTTTTTTAAATATAAGCACATTTATTTTGAGATTATTATATTTTATGTTTCATTTGGTTTCAAATGTGCGTTTGTAGATGCTTGCACAAATTATACAATATTTGTATTTTTAATATTTCAGGATGCCATCGAAGAAAATGAGGACATGCAGCAATCTCTTAATTACACTGCGCACACACAAAATAATACAATAATTCTTTGTTAGTCTTTCCTTCTCTTGCTGTGTCCGCTTTTGGTTCAGCGGGCAGGAGCTGAGGGTGCAAAGCTGGCCTGTTTACCCTCGAGCAGAGCGGCCGAGGTGACGTTAGGCGAGGTGGCTGCGGCCCCGGCACCCCCGTGCAGCTTGCAGGACGTAACGCATGCGGCCTGCGGCCTTCCCACAGGTCTGCGGCCCCACACCGGCTACAGCTTCGCGCTGCTCGCCTGCACGGCAGCCGGCTGCGGAGCAAGTCAGCCATCTACGGGCCGAACGCTGCAAGACGCCCCGGCAGGTATGCTGTCCTATTCCTGCTTCAGGTCAGATGAATGTCAGGTAAGCCGTGCAGGGGTGTCACCCTCGGTGACATCAGCCCGCTGCAATTAACAGGCAAAAGTGCTTTACTTTTAAGGCGGCTTTTCTTTTTGTTATTTTTTTAGCACTTTCACATTATTTTTGCTTGTTTTCTTCCTTATGGATCTTGAATGAGTGCACAGGAAACGTAACATATTGTGCATATTCAAACCTACATTTGGATGATTTATAATTTTGTAAATTATTTTTTATATTCATAAGATTTTTCAGTAATAATGTGGATTTTACCAACTTAAAAATCTAAGTATTTGAAAGAATTTCAAAGGCTTTTTCATAATTTAGAAGTAAAAACAAAAGAAAATCATTGCATATTTTTACAATTACATATTTTATGCATTCTTTTAAAAAAATGTAGAATTTCTGATTTATTTGAGAAAAATATGTTTTAAAGGAATATGTAAATATATCCAGTAGTTATGTATGATGGTACTGATTACTGTTTGAATCATGGTTTTAATTTGATAATTGTATTTCACATTGTTATAAAATAATTATTGTATTGTACTTATTTCTTTTTTCATCATAGCAGATTAATAAAGTTGCTGAATTGACAAATGCTCCACTCTATTCTATCTGACAGTGTGACCCTGGTCTCTCCTTCCCTGTTTGTGATGTGCTGGGCCCCCCCCCCCCCCCCCACCTCGGTTCCCTTTCTCTCCGCCTGCATGGCCACCACGTCCTTTCCCTTCAGGAGTGTGGGCCCGACCCCGTCACTTGGTACTGAATTCCTCTGCGGTGGAGCTGCACTGGAGCGAGCCTCAGGAGCCCAATGGTCGGGTGTTTCGGTACCGGCTGCTGAGGGATGGAGCGCACATCTTCTCCGGCGACGGCGGGAGCCGCAGCTACACGGACACCGGCCTCCAGCCCAGCAGCAGGTCCTGCCTGTCATCCATCTTTAACGAGCTATTACCGTTTGATTATTGATGATAGCTAATCCTGCGCGTACTTTACAAGATATTTTGACTGGGGGAAACCCTCAGTGACGCTCACAGGCTGATTTAATCCACCTGCAGAGCAGATATTAAGGCCCAAGCGGGAATCAATCTATAAATTATGGTCTCTATGCAGTTCAATTTCAATGAACATTATGCGTGTTGGCCAGAAAAGGGCGTGTCCTTGAGTGATGTCATGTGTGGCCCGCCCACCAAGTAGGACGTTTCTAGAATCCCATGTCGCCATATATCAGGGCTGTCTGACAGTGAGCTGCAAAGGCTGCCATATCTGTGAGTAGGTTTTTTTTGCCTCATTGTCTCAGTACTGGATTGTTTAATTAAAATTATCATTTGGCCAGGAAATAACGTCACCTGAATTTTGCAGGTGTGAGCAATTTGGGTATTGGGCTGCTTTCCAGTCAGCAGCTGATTTTTACCCACAAAAGCCTGGTGATGTTATTTCCTGTCTGGACAATGACTTTAATTAATCAGCTGAGTGCCGGGATTTTAAAAAAATTACCAGCATACCCTTTGGCCCTCGTCAAGCATGATTGGACATTTCCACCATATATGTCTGCTGGGTTGTGTCCTGTGCAATCTGTTGACCACATATGGCTGCTTTGTGTACGTTACTGAGATTTAATAATTATTCCATAAGCCATTTTGCCAAAACTAGTGCTCTTTGGTGAAGGCTGGCAACATTGGCAAAATATCAAATGTGCATAAAAATGTTAAAGGTAGCTGAGTCTTATTTGTATTGCAGAATTTTAATGGCTAATTGTGTCATACCTCATACTTTGCGACAAACAGGAATCCCCTCGACGTTTCAGAAGCCAGTTTCAGTATTTTTTCCTCTTGAAAAATATGGTGTATTTGATATACATAATTAGTTTTTGTTAATTTGCCACCGAAAACCTTGCTCGCCATGAAATATTTATATTTATGATATGAGCTTATTCTTCTCTTAGTAAATATGTCACTAAAAGACTTGGATTATTAGGATGTGTGAGTATTTTTTTTGATTCTGTCTATTTCAGCTATCAGATTGTATCATGAGCAATCATCTTGTAAAATCATCCTTGTTGACAGAAGTCATTTTACCCGTGAGTGATCCCATAGACGGTGACGGCTTTGTGTACAGCATGTGCTCATTTCGTGATTTATCTCAACATTTTCTCGGCCTTGTTCAGAATCAATCACTGACAGTGCGTTTTCCTGTTCACGCCAGTGACCCCTCGACGCCTCTTGCCCTCCAGGTGCCCTCAGAGTCTGGGAATTCTTTATTGCAGAAAGTGTGCGTGGAATCCTGAAACAAATGCCGAATAGCCACACTAAAGACAAGCTTTTTGGGAACAAGAGAGAGGAAGATAATAATGTAGACCCTCAGAGGAAGGATGTGGATGAATTCAGTCCATTCTGTGAAGTTATTTAGTTTATTTCTTACCTTATTCACAACATAAGTGATTCAACTTGTATAACAGAAGTGCACATTTCCAAAACTTCCAAACTAAAGAAAAAATAGTATGTCTTAAATATATACATAACTTTTTAATATAGGCCTGGTTTTGTAGAGCAGTTAATCAGTACTTAATGTCTGTGCTATGAAAACAATGTTCTGAGACGGTGCTTTGATCATTCATCGGGAATTTTACTGTAAGGACTTTACTCAGGCTACATGAAGCATAGAGACATCAGTTAAAGATCAAAAGTGGTGTTTTGGAATTACAAGATTGTTCCAGAATCAGGGAATCCAAGGTATGGTTTAAAATGATTTGTCTTCATTTCATAAAGAATGGCTTGGAGGATGATGTTTTGGAGTTGAGAAGCTGATTTCATCCTTAACGACTGAGAGAGTAGAGGCAGGTGGCAGCAGGGAGAGGGGCCTTAAATCGGCCCACGGATGAAGGCCAGGAGGGGCGTTTTTACCCTGTGAGTGCAGTCAGCACAGCTGATGGCCGGTCAGAGGGTGTATATGAGAGGAATGTAGGGTATGACTGGACAAAGGCAAGGCGGACAGGAGGGGAACCTGCAGGATAAACGGGGACTTGGGAAACATGAGTGCAGCCACTCAATACTAATTACGCTGCATTAATTGATTGTGTAAACTTGGATGTGTGTTACAAATAATCCCAGTATTACGTTTATTTTGGCCTTAATTTTCATGCTGGCTCACACATTAATACCTTTCTATCCATGAAACTGTTTCTTTAAATGCAACAATAGGATCTAAATAAGGATCTATCTTCTATAGCATTGTTTTAACTTTGTAGTAGTAATAGTAGTATTAATAGAAATAATAATAGTAGTAGTGGTGGTAGTAGTAACTAACAAATGAACAGTTCCAAGTGAAGTTCTCTGTTTGGTCCATGATCAGTTTGGATAATCAGTGGGCACTTATGGACTGATGAGCCAATGGTATGTAATGGATTCCTGGTGCAAATGAAAGGCTGTAAGGCAGCATAAAAAGCTGTGAGGTCATAAATGTGAGATCGAGGGGTGACAACGGTAAGCAGGCCAGCAAAACCCCAGCAGCTCCACTCCTCCAGGGGGCGCTGCAGACGCCGGCAGCATTGTCACCCATTACCATCCGCTTCCCAAGTCCTTCACTAACCACTCCTCCCCCATTTTATTTGTACCACATCTCAAGAAACCTGGGGGGGGGTGGGCATTTGACGTCTAATTTGCTGTAATTCCAGTTCACCTGCCAAACAGAATTTCCTTCCGGGCTTTGCTCTGCCACCTTCCTCGTAGCCACTTGGCTTTGTGCGGGGAATAACAAAGGCAGCCCTCCGTCTCATTACCCACCCCCCGTATACCGACATGGGGGGGGCAAACCGCTCGCTTACGCCGGTCCTCATTGATTATTTATGACAATGTTGATTAGCTGTCACTTAGCTCACCTCCGTATAAAGTCCTTCTGATGACTGAAATATTAACCTTTATTCTCTGGGGAGGTGGCCCCTGATGTACTGCCTGCTTTGATATTGAACATTTGTGTGTTTTACTTAAATCTTAGATGGGTCCGGGGCACTTTGTGCCGCGCATGCCTCCGCGGGTGTGTGTGTCGCATCAGAAACGCCGCGTCGCTGTCGTCACCCGACTCTGCTTTGATGCGTTTATAATACCCACAGTGCGTAAATCCCGTGGAGTGACATGTCTGTCTTGTTAATATATTATGGTACAAAAGGAGAACCTGCCTCAGTTGCGTAACAGACTGGGGTTAAATGCGTGGCTGCGGCAGATAATGCGTTGGTATTCATGGATATTTACAGTCAAAAATAGAAGCCGATTACCGTTAAGTGCAGATCGCTCGCGCTGCTAATGTGGAAGTTTGCTCGGCAGTTCGACAGCCATTAAAAAGTCAAATAAGTGTGTGGCAGACATTAGATATCCAGCTTTAATTCATCAGCAATGCATTCATGACATTCATTTGAATGCTATTAAAGGCAAATCTGTCTAAACTGACTTAAAATTGTTAGTAGTAGTAGTATTATTGGACCCCAGTTTGTCACTTGTCATGCCAGTGGTGACAGCTGACATCTCGCCTGTCGCAGAATCATGCTTTTGCTTCAGTGCAGCCGCTTCTCCCGCCAGCTTCAACAGAGAGGTAGCTTGAGGGGAGCGGGGGGTTAGGGGAGCGGGGGTCTGCTGAAAGGCCTGTGCAACGCTTGACAGCAGTGTGAACGACTCGCGTTACCCCCAAATTGCGTGCGGCTGGCGAATGCTCGTCTTCCATTCTACATCCATAGCTGTTCACTGCTTTTTATTTGTAAGTCGATGATTCTGTACGTTTGTGAATTTCAGCTGAAACCCAGTTTGATGTAATGTCACAACACAACTGTAACTTAGAACAAAGTTTATGAGTTTCTTTCGTATCTTAAAGCAATTAATTGGGTTAAATAATGTGCTGAAGTTTGATTTCACTTGTTCACCCCGTCGCAGGTATTCGTACGAACTGGAGGCCAGCACTGAGGGAGGAAACAGCCTCAGCAACATATATGTCATTCACACCCCTGCTTCATCCCCAGAGAGGATCCCGGCACCATATAATGTCACCATTAGGGGCCCCAGCTCCGTCTCTGTCGCCTGGACACCCCCAGGTAATGTTTATACCTAATGCACTAAGCAGACTCTCTATTTAGCAATCAGCCGGGGGTGATTTATTCCCCGTTTGGCCGGAAAGCAGCACCGAGCGAGTAATTTACGAGCACCACTGTGTGTAATTTAATGGGAGCCGGACATGGCCGCCACGTCCATGCATCACGGCGTGGCGGGCGCGAATCGGCCGGGGGAATCAATTAGCATCCGCGACGTGGGCGGCCGCATCGCTAACGTTAGCGCTGGCTAAAACGGATGTGATTGGAAATCCAGGCTCAACACGAAAGAGGCATTAGCCTCTCGTAGCTGCCTCTACCCCCACCCCACCCACTGCACTTTTCCCTGCCCATCTCAGGGGGAGGTCCACGTCGGCCTGCTTCTCCTGGAGACAAGGTAGCCAACCAGAAAACTTCTGGGGAGGGGCGACTCTAGTGTTTTTTCAGCTGGAGGGGCATAAGAGGGGCCATAATTCACACAGAGGGGCCAACCATATCATTAGCCAATAATATGTTTGGATACAGTGGGTTACGGAGTAGGGAGCACTCTGGGGACCAATCAGCTTTCTGCCCCCTGTGGCTCCGCCCCCCTGTGTACTCCCCTCCTTTTGTGAGAGGATTCCGTTTCCTGCCCTTACCTCTATGTGGCTCCCTGTCCTTCAGGACTCTCCTTGCTCTGGACCCAATAAATAATGAATATTAGCTAAAACTGCACTGGTCTGTTCACAGTCGCCTGATGATGTCACCCTGCCTCTCTTTGCCTCTTGTACCTTTTATTTTTCTACATTTCAGACTCGTCTGTATCGATTTGTCAGTCTTTTTTTCCTGTTTATTATGAAGGCTTAGCCACACTGTTCCCGAATGACCATGTGGGAATCCGGCCTGAGTAAACAGCCCCACATGGAGATGCGACACACAAACAGACAGGTCTTCCCTGTGGTCCATGGACTGGTCCAATACGTGGCGAGAAAGCCAGAATATTCTCATAGCCTGGAGGTTGCCTGTTCACATCCTCATGCAACTGGTGCTCCCCTAAGCTGCATCTGCATACTATTATTATTGTTATTTGTTTTAAACATGGTGAATGCACAGATTCCTGACTGTCTGAATCACAGGGACGATGCCTATGTGTCACTTACTCATTGTGCTTTGCCTTTCACAAAGGTGGGAAACCCGATGAGTGAATTCAGATTGACAGAAATGAGTTGCAGTACTGTGCAAAAGTTTTAGGCAGTCAAATGTTTAAAGCTATTTGTTTGGGTAGTACGTATATATCTGCTCAGAATAATAAACACAATTTAATATTAAAACATATGCAAATTAAGAGTAACAGTGGAATTAACAAGAACTTCTGCTCTCCAAAAAGGCTGGATGGCTAGATGAACGCCGCTTCAGTTCCCAAACCTCTCCTCAGGGGCACCTCAGGCATTCCATTTATTTCCTAAATTTCACCACCACATCACTTCAATTAATCAGTTTAAAAAGTCAATAAGGTATTAATTAGCCATACATGGTGGTTGGGTCAGAAAATACATACTGGATGGTTACTGGGGAGATTTCAGGAAAGGTTTTGAAATGGCTAAGCTGACGCACTTTGACAGACATAATGTCAGAGATTTACACCAATCTGAAGATCATTTAAGGATCATTTTCTTTGACTGCCTCAGACTGTCTGAGTGTATTGAGATCACAGCACAGGCTTCTGCGTCCACGATCCTGAGCGCCAGTGTTTTTTGAAACCCTACAAAATTAAGCCAGAATCGCAAACACACTCTTAGGCCAGGTTGCCAGATTTGCCGGGGAGTATGCTGACTCCCCCCCGGTGATGGATCAGACTTGAAGGAGTGTTCCTTTCTACCCCCTTCGTACCATTATCCCTGATTAGAGTCGTCTTCCAGTTGAAAGCATAAAACTCCAAAGTCAGTGATTAGTTGTAAATAATAGAACTTAAGGACGCGTGCGATTGAACTTCCCTGGCAGAGCGCGGTGATCAAAGCGGTGCGAGATCCGCGCCGGGTTTGTGTCGCGCCAAAAGACTACATCTGCTCGGGGAGAAGCAATGAAGGAAGTTGAATAATTTAACTTTTTCATTTGTAAAGATAATCAGTCCATTCTGAATACATCTCGCCTTCATAAATGTTAAATAACCTATCAGCCTGCAGTTGTTGTAAATTATGAAACACGCCAGTGATGGGAATATTAACGACGCGGGGGCCCGTCGCCACGCGCTGCGGTTGGAAATGCGCCGTGGCAGCTTGTCAGCGCGCCGTGTGTAAATGCGCACTGCTAAATGACGACGGTGCCATTCACGGTTAGGAAGCGGAGCTTCACTGCCAGACCTCTTCCAGGGCCAGGTCCGGCTTACGGAGGGCTCTCTAATCAGGCGGGGAGGAAGACCACACGGTGGGCGCCGGAGGGGGCCCCCACTTGGTATGACCACAATTAGGGGTTCGTCCGCTGTGGAACAGCTGCACTATCCTGTTTCCTTGGTGATGCAAACACTTGAATCTGCACGACCTGTTTTTAGGGATGATTGTTGATATGAAGAGAATGAAAAGTCTGCTAACTGAAGCCAACTGACAGTGTTTATTTGGATAATTCGTATGTCGTAGCATCTCGGGGTCACCGTTCGTCCTTTTATTGATAACCACACGACACCCTCATTACTCCGAGTCGTCCGCCTGCTTTTCTCTCATTGTCTGTGTTTCTGGGCTCCTTCCCTCAGAGGTTTTCAGCGACAGCTTGCCTCTGGAGTACAGCGTGCTGCTGAACCCGGGCAGCGAGCGGACACCGATCCGAGCCGCAGGGCACGGCCAAGCTCTGGAGCTGGAGGGCCTCCAGCCGTTCACAGACTACGAAGTCCGAGTGCAGGCCTGTCAGGAAGGTAGGGGGAGCAGGTTTGGGCCGAAAACGCGAGCAGAGCAGGGGCCCTCTTTGCTGTGGAGTCGTGTGGCTTTCCTGGCTTTCTGTGAACTCTTCCTTAAGTTACTGGGTTTTTTTTTGCTTGGTTCAGGTGGGTGCGGCGTGGGAGACAAAGCCCACTTTCGGACATCTGAGGCTCCGCCAGAGGACTTGGATCCCCCTGTGGTGACAGCTACGGGTCCCACTGTCATCGAGGTGCACTGGTGCCCCCCACACAAGCCCAACGGCGTGATTAACAGTTACTACGTACACCGGTAAAACGGATAAAATGCGTCTCACCTCATCACTGCCCTGTTTCTTTGCTGAAAGTAGCCGCTGCCTCAGTCTTTTCCCCTCTTTGCTGACAGCACAGATTATGAATAATTGGATTACTTCTTCTCTGGCTATTAATATCCTGTAAGAAACTGTGCGTCCTTCTCTGTAGCCCCAGAGTGGTGGGGGGGGGCAGCATCTTCTCCTCCCAAACAGACGGTGAAACATGGGTAGCCCAAGGCAGGCAGGGAGCTCTGTATCTCTGCTGAATAAGCTAGCTGCTATCTAGGTCTACAGGACGTGGGGTGGAGGGGGGATGTTATCACACGCTTCTGCTCGTTGCGGCCATGTGACACGGCCATGTGACACGGTCATGTGACACGCGGACTGCCCGCGGGGTGGCATTGTTATCTCAGGCCCTGTTGGGGGGACATCGTCAAGCCGACAAAATAACGCCTAAATAAAGTGTATGCTGGAGTTTCCTAATGTGTGACACACACATAGAAGTTCCACTTATTTATAACCAAAATAAAAGAGACAGGAGACAAAGCCAGGCGTTCCCAATACAGGGGGGAGACAATAGCAATTTCCTGTGAATTTATGCAGTATAGATATGCAGCGGTGTTTGCTCATGATTCACAGCATTAATGTCATGGCACCAGATTTAGAGGCCCGGGTGTCTCACGCTCTGATTGGCTCCCCTGGGAAGCCCCACTCTGGCAATCCCACTGATACAGAAATAAGCGTTGATAAGCAGCTGGTAAAATGCCTATACAGTAAATCCCTCCACCGATTGCTCATCTTCCCAGCATCTGGATCGCCAGCACGTTTTTACATTGGCCAGTTTAAAGTATACTGCCATCTACTGGTCAGACGGCGGGCCTGTAATGCCGCTGCCTTTGTGTCTGAAGGCACGGATAGAAGCCATGGCATTAAAATGGCATGCAGCCAGGACTCACAATCAGCAAATGAAAAGATGACGTTGAATCGAGTAAGTATTTAATTCAGGGAAACATTTATGTTCCTGTCAGTTCCAAATGTCACTTTCTGTGTATTCAGAGAGGCATTTGTGGTGTGGTATACGGGAGAGCCGCGGAGGAGCAGAGCCAGAGCGAGGGAAGCTCGCGACAGCGGGCGTAAATGGGAGGCGACGCCTGCCTGTTGGCTTTGATTATTCCAGGCATACTGAAGCACGATATAAAGAGTAATATGAGCGAGAAGAGGCCATAACACTGTGCCGGCTCAGAGGCAATAAAGCTTATACAGACGTGACACGATCACGGTGCCGCTCGCGCCCCCCCCTCCCCTCCCCCTAGGGCACCTCAGTGGCACCAAGCTCTTTATTCACGGCCAGCTCAGGGCCTCCGATTCCACCGCGGATGCCTGGGACCCGCAAATCTCATGACAAGTGCGCGACACTACGCACAAGTGGTGTTTCTTTAAATGCAAATAAACAGGACGAAAATAGACAGCAAAAGGGAATTAGAAGAATTAAACGGAATTAATTATAACGATGAGAAAAGAGGCACTTTATGTAATCATACCTGCATCCTTTCTTTCGTTCCTGTTTTTTTTTTCCTGCCCTCATTGTGCTCATTTGACAAAAGTGGCATCCTTCACAGAGCAACGGGAAGTCCGCTGGGTTGTGGACAAGTCGGCGTTTCCTTCCGGAGATTGGTCGCAAAAGCGGCATTTGCAGTGTCACTGTGGTTTAACCACAGTAAATTCCTGACGTTAGTATACGCGGGGAAGTCACTGCATTCGATGACGGCTAGCTGTATTTAATTCGAGCCGATCTGGATAAATGCAACGAAACGTGGAACAAGAAAATAGAAAACCTTGGCAGATTTCTCACGCTCATCTCTGTCATAATCACTTTATTTATTTGATTTATTGTCATTTTTGTTTGATAACTCTGGGGCCATTCACGAGCATTAGCTGTTCACAAAGATCTGATGCATGAATTGCAGCTCAAATTCAAGAACAAACAGCATGCCCAGATCATAAACCGTGAAATAATCATGAGAAGCCTGTTGTCTAAGGAAAATAACCTGAACCAATTTAAATTTAAACACAGATAAGTATCTGTATGGAGAGTAATTGTAATTACAGTATGTGATTGTGTAGTATGCTGTTGGTCAGGTTTTAATTTTGCTACCCAGAAGACCTTTTTGAGAGTGAATATACAGTACAATATATTCAGATTCAAAGTTCTTTATTTACCCCCATAGGGTAACTTTTGTGTTGCAGTCGCAATTCACATACATGACAAAAACAAAGTAAAACATGCAGCATATCTCAATGAGATGTGAGTGTAAAAACAAGCCTAGGTTTGTTGTTGAATATTACATGGCCTTTTCATTTAAACTATTCAGTGATATTTTTAAACATTTTTAATAGTGTTCTTATGGAGCGCAAATGCAACTCTCTACATTGTTCCTGTGTCATTGTACAGCAGCAGTAAGCTGTGATTTTAACAACATTTTACATTATCTCTCTGTTAAATGAAACTCGCGTGTTGTAATGTGCCTCATTCAGTGTTAGATGTGAAAGTGAAGTGAAAACTACTTTTCGCTTCTGCATAAGCGCCCTGTGAAAGGTGCCGCAGGCCTCTCCGTGAGGACCTTTAAATCTCACCCTGACAGCGTGAGCCTGGCTTGCTGGACGGCTCGGCGTGAAGGGGGTCCGGCCTCGTCCAATGGCGAGGCGGCATTCATCGCAGGCCACCGTCACCACCGCACGCGCTAGTTTAGCCGCGCAGTGTGAGGGGCCGCCAGCCCTGCTGCTCCCCTGTTTATCTTTATTCTAATGCAGACAGGATTAGGGAGAGGACCACCCCCCCACGGCCCGGAAGAGGGGGTGGGCAGGGGCCACATCGGTGGGGCCCAATGTCATTTCCTGTAGCAGCATGGAGGCCGATGGTAATGCGGGGGAATTAACGGTGCTGGCCCATGTGGCACAGTCTTGAGTGCCCCGCCTCGGCCAGGCACCGTGCCCGCCCACATTACTGCAGCCCTCCCCCCGGCAATTCTGCAAGAACTCACTCGGCCCCCGTCTTAAAATGCCCGTGTGCTTTCACTCTCTCTCTCTTTTTTTTTTTTTTTTTTTAAAGGTCTTGGACTTGTTTTACAATGATCATTAAACCACCCTTTGTTATTTTTGGACCATTTAGATCTCAGCAAGACACTCGAAACGGGATGTAATCGCAAGACATCTGTCCGTTCTCAAGGATCGAGGCTCAGCGGGTTAGACCTCTGTGTCTGTGATCGGATGGTTACTGGATCGAATCCCATTCTCAGCAGAATAGTGAGGTGTCATTTGGGCCCCTTGAGCAAAGCGAGAGATGCTCTATGGTTTCCTGATAAATGACTATCCCTACACTTGGACCTTCAGCTTCAGTCTGGAGAAGCCCGGGAACTTGCCTGAGCACATGGATTCATTCAATGGTGTGAAAGGTCACTCTTAGAGGGCTCTTCCACGTAACAAAATATCTTGGCATAAAGAGAGAATACTGAGCCACCTAGATGAAGACGCCAACCCTCCTACCGAGCCTCTAGACATCTGCGAGAGGCTGCGCAGGGGTTTGCGTACACAGGAAGACGGGGCTGCCATCCTTGCGAGGAGAGGGGGGGAGTGGGTGTGGTCAGGAGCCACAGGTCAGGCGGAGGTGCAGGCGCAGGGAGATAGCAGAGCAGCCGGTGCTGCGGGACTGCACAGTCCATCACCTCCCTCCTCAACCCTGACACCTCCTCAACCCTGACACCTCCTCTCCCAAAGGTGGCCGAGCTTTCGAGTCACAGAGGCAGACTGGCTGAGTGCTGCTGGTGAACGGCAACACGCAATACCAAGTGCGAGAGTCAGATCCTATAGGCGTTTGCGGCGAAGCAGCAGCTCGTAGCAGAGGTTACAAAGTCCCCATCCACAGTATTTCAGTATCTCTCCATTTACAGCTACAAAGTAAAAACTCTCGTAAGTTTCTAGACAGTTGAATGTTACTCTTGAAAAACACTGAATCATCATTTTTTACACTTACTTTAATACTTTTATACACACATACTGACAATTAGTGTACTTTTTGGTACAACACAATCAATCAAGGGTATGTGTAGAATCTGATGTACTGCACAATGCTCTTCTTAGTTATTTTTTGTTAGTTTGGTATACATTTTTAGTAGAATATTACTTATTAATATAAATTTTTGGATTTTAATTTTTAGAATTATGCTGGTTACTTGAATTAGATGTGAGAGCTTTTACAGTATTGGGTAGTCTGTGCGCATGTGTCAGTCTGACCTCTGCAGTCGCTTTGGCCTGAAAAAGAGCAGGGGTGCGAATCTCCTACCATTTGCTGCCTAATTCCCAAGTTGAAGGGGTCCCTTCCCTGAGGTCTACGGCGGATTGCTCAGCTTATGTGTGCTCACATAACCTCCCCTGCAACATGCTCCCTCGTTAGCCAGAGCCCGGACAGGGGGGGTTATGTCACCGTCACCCGCCAGCTGCTCCCCTGTGTGTGCGCGGGCCGTACCCGAGCGTGCGGACAGCCGGCCCATACGCCGCGCAGGCAGAAGGCTAACAGGGACTGCGTGCCGAATACACACAACCTGACAAGATCCTACTTGTTTACAAGCCATAAGGTGGCCTCATAAACACTGTGAACAATCATTGAAATATTTTTACATCGTACTATGAGTGTCTGTATAGGCGGGGACCTGAAAGCGTGACATCACTGCCAAAGTCTGTCCACAATATCGCCTTACAGAGGCAAAACACTGTACGTGCATATTTCAGTTGAGTCTCTTACATTCCCATGACAAAATATGTTAGTTCAACTTTGCTCGTTTTTGAAGAAAACACTGTGAGAATTACAGTAACTACAAAATCCACATTAAAACCAAAGCAAAAGACCTTTTTTCTCAGTTCAGTGTCTGTGACGTTGCTTTGTTTTCCATTGTGGGGCTGTATATACACCATCTGCTGAATAGAGAAGTTTACAAACAGACAGGTTTATAGTCTGTGTGCCCTTTCTAATGATTATTCACTTGATTACCTCTCCAGGAGGCCCGTCAGCACACAGGAAGAGCTGCTAGTCTTCATCTGGTCAGAGGGCCCTCTGCAGTTCATAGATGCCTCTGAGATTCTGCGGCCCTTCAGCAAGTATGAATACCGCCTGAAAGCCTTCAATTCCCTGGGTTCCACTCAGAGTGGGTGGAGCCCTGTTCGCACCATGGAAGCGGAGCCGGAAGGCATGGCCCCACCCATCATCAGGCCCACCGGCGCCTACTCGGTTCAGCTCAGCTGGACTCCACCCCGGTTCCCAAACGGCGTCATCACGGCATACAGGATGTTCTACCAGAAGCACCAAGAGGACCCTACGCTGAATGCCACCTCTGTGAGCGCTCTCACTGTGCCGGTAAGACTTATAATACATATCCCATCATGCCGTCCTTTGGGACATACATATCCCATCATGCCGTCCTTTGGGACATACATATCCCATCATGCCGTCCTTTGGGACATACATATCCCATCATGCCATCCTTTGGGACATATATATCCCATCATGCCATCCTTTGAGGCATACATATCCCATCATGCCGTCCTTTGAGGCATACATTTCCCATCATGCTGTCCTTTGGGACATACATATCCCATCATGCCGTCCTTTGGGGCATACATACATAAATACAGGTAAGAGCAAAGCTTGGGGTCTGAGCCCAGGCTCAGCCATTTATCTGGCACCCCTGGACCTTACTCAAGCACCTAACAGAGATGTCTATTCTGCCGAGGACAGGATCGGAACCAGCGACCTTCTGATCACAGGCTCACCTGCTGAGCCACAACATCTCTTCCGAAAATCTTTTGATAGGGATGGATTTAGGTGTCAGAAGCAGTATTTTCAAAGAGAACAAACCAAAAAAAAAAGTTCCTTAAATTCATTGCCTACCTTATGGATTGATGCTTCCTGCACTGCCGCTTCCGGTAATGCAGTTTTCCCGAAGTCGCCCCGTGACAGACTCGCCTCCACTCGCTTGAAAAGGACAGGGAGAGACGCGCCTCGCGCTGCAGAGGGACCCTGCCGGTCTGTCTCGGCGTCGTGCGGGAGCCACATTTGTTTGGGCTGCGCCTGCGGAGGCTCTGCCATCTGTTCGTTGGGGACAGGCCCGCGGGCTGCCGTGCGGACCGCCTGGGGCCGGGCCCTTCAGGGCCCACAACCAGAGGCTCCACTTCCAAACCCCCCCCTCCACCTTCCCCCACCCTCCCGCCGCCGCACCTGTCATACGGCCTCAAATCCGAGCTGGCAGCTCGGTAAACAATCTGACGCCGTACACCTCGGGGGGAGGGCACTGAACGCCCGCCCCCCCAAAGGCTCTCTTTCTGCAGTGCGTCTGAAGGCGTCCGCGAGCGGTCAGAAAGTATCAGTGTGATGGAGGAGTTACAGCAAGCAGGACGGCCCGCTCAGGCGAATCATCCAGCCGGAGAGGCGTGTTTTTTATCCTGCGATGGGGCCGTTTTCCTGAGGCGTCGGCAGGTGTGCTGCACGTACGCGTGTCTGTTTTTTTGTTGACGTGTGGGCTTATTTCATCGGAGGTTACGTTAAATACGGAGGCCCATGTGGACTCAGCATGTCCTAGAGCTCAGACTAACTTTTGATGCCCTGGAACGTAATTAGCTCTGCTGCATCTCAGGGTGGTCAAGTTAAAGTTTGCCCATCGAGGTCAGTCAGTGCTTGAGAAGAAGAGCGGTACCCTGTTTATCCCTGTGAGGAATGTACGTGGTTTTTCACATACCCCATCTTTCTCTCAGTGAGCGACACAGTCACATGCAAGGTTCATTCAATGTCCAGTGTCCCTGGAGCAGTTTGGGTGAAATGCCTTGCTCATTGGCCCAGTGGTAATGATTGCTTTGTCAGCGATGGGTTTGAAACCCATAACCTCCTGGACATGGTCACAGATCCTTAATTCACTAAGCTACAGTTATTATTTTGCAAACACTTTTATCCAAAGTAATGTACGATAGAGAATCCTGGGTCAGCCAGTGCCTCATGAAATTGGGAGTTAAGGGGCTTGCTTGTAGTGAAATCATGCGATGGGATTTGAACCAATGACCTTCTGAACACAGGCACAACACTCAAAGCCGCTGAGCCACACATGGTCCCCCAAGCTGCTCATTCAGGGCTGTGATGGTAATATGATTGGCATCCCTCTCCGCCAGTATTAACCTTCCCACATAGCACTGTGTTACCTGCACTGTGGGTGAAGGAGTTTTTGAAGTGTCCAGAAAGAAAGTGTAGAAATTAGGTCACACACATCGAGCTACCTGGTGTGTGGTGACAGTGTTAAATGTTCAGCAGCATTAACCAAACACATACACACAAGCAGAGTCATCACTTAGACCGTGTGACTTCCCAATCATATTACCCCCTACGTACCACACCTTGGTCACATGACCGGCAGGACACATCTGACAGACTATTTGTGTTTGCTGCATGTTTTTGGGAACATTCTTCAGTCTATCACATTAATGCAATTAATGATTTGTACCCCTGCTATGTTCATTACAGTCATTATCCAAGCTTGTCCCCAAAAGGATAACTATGGTTGTAGACCCAGCACAGTAACAGCCAATCACAGGCCTTCTGTAGAAGCCAACAGTCCCCCATAAATCGGTGTCCAGTGCGGCCAGATTCATTCGCGTCCCCCGGACAACTGACCGCTCACATGCCTCGACATAACCTAATAAACAGAATGGAAATAGCATTAGAGCAAGAAGTGAGGGTACATTATTGGCAGGCGAGCAGTTTATTGAAGTTCAAAGCCCATTAACATTGATGGAGCAATCATTTGAACTTCAGAGCAATTACACTGATGGACATTGAATGGTCCTCCCATGGGCTCCAGCAGCAGTCACAGTGTAATATGCCTTTATAAAAACAAATTATGGTGTTAATATTTAAGCTAATTCACTGTTTCTGGAAAGAAAAGGGGTCAAAAAATTACCTCCAGTACTGTATATGATTAAACAAGAAAGGCTGTAGAAACAACAAAATGTTACTGTTCCTTCTGCAAATTTTGTTCGATATGACGGTTCATGAAGAGTAATGTATGACCAAATTAACTAATTAAATTGCCAAATCGTATCCCTGATACTTCCCAGATTAATATAACAATCAAGGATTGCAAATCACCTTTTCTAATGAAATATTCTGCAGGAAATATTATTCAGCTGAACATCTTACTAAAAGATATTAAGGTTATGTGGAAGTAGGGTAAAATAACAGGAAGTTTTAATGTTCTGAGTAGTAATGCAGCCTTTGCGGTAGGGGACAGTGACGCCAGGTTCACCTGCCGGTGACCCACACCAGTGTGCCTGTCTTCTCCAGACCTTCATTAAATGGTGCTGA